ATGGAGATCCGAGAAACGGACAAGATGAGAGTGCAGAAGAAAAGAGAAGGGAACTAGGGTATGGGTGGGGGACGCTGAAAGATGCGGGAAACGAGGAATAGAAAAAAGAGAGGGCCTTAGTGTTTTTATTTCCTATGTCAGAAATACGTGAGAGGAGGCGGAAGAGAAGGGGCAGTTCAGGGGTATTGCCATAACTGTAAAGTTGCATGCAATTAATGAATTAAACAAAAAAACAAAAATAATGTGTCTAATCCCGGTTAATAACCCTAACCCTGACATTGTGAGTCATAATGAATCACTCGAGATACTTGTAGGGGTTTGATTTACTATTCTTTTTTTCTCTCATTTTTTTTTAACTGAACACCGATATAGGTTTCCCCGATATTGATGATTGGGAATATTTCACACGTCAAAGGTATTTCAGGAAGTTGGATATATATGCACACTTTATAACCAAGAATTTATTTATCTCTTTCCGCTCTACCGATATCGTTAGCTTCCCAGAACCTTAATTGGGCTACCTGATTTCGCTCCTGGAGGTGCAATATATATTACTGGGCTCTTCTCGGACCTTTGGGATTGACGATAGACCTGTCTCAATAGCGAATGAACTCCCGGAGAGATGAGAACCAGCTATCTTAAAGCTATTGCGAGTTTCCAAAATCAATTAACTGGACACAGTGCCGTAACCAGGCCTTGCACGGAGTAGCAGTTAACGTCTTCTTATAAAAAAAGCCACGCCAGGGAAACCCTGATGTTATTTCTATGATTCCCAGTGCTTGCATTATTATCTCAGGTTTCAATGTAGTCAATCCCGGGTAGTTCAAAGTCTGGTTATTGTGGACCATGTATAACAGGGCGCCCAGTTTATTTTGAAAATTTGGGATACAACTGCAGCTTTGCAATATTCCTCGGTCACTAAATGCATATTCGATGTCAATCTTAAAAGGACTGAACCGTGGTGGTATTCTTTTTATCTTGTTGACTGGGTCCGTCCTAAGACATGCTGAAGCCATTGCTACTGATAAAGCGTCCTCTTAGATGAATTATCAGTCGAGGATAGAACAGGTATCAGCGTCTCTCGGCTAGATTCACTAGCTGGCTCCAGGGCCCAAATCTCCTGGCTGCTTATATAGTAGTGGATGATTGATTCCATTTCGCGAATACTAGTTTAAAGAATTGACTTTATAAACAAGCTTTGATGGTAGACTTTGCAGTCTGCTGTATATGAACCCATAATACCGTTTGGGATATCTCTGAGTTCGTAGAATAGATCAAGCAGAGACTTTCACATATTCATTGTTGTTGGATCCCACTCCATGGCTTGGTATCTCTATGACATAATTTGGCAGTCAATTACTAGGAGAGATTTACCGGTACCAAAAGCAATGGAGAATCGCTGTGAGCTATGTTTTACTACGCTGCCCAAATCGGCTAGCGGAGACTGTACATTCAGTGGATCTCACAGCAGTTTGGCACGCGATATCTACCAGCGTTATATATACATTAACAAAGAAAGACATCGTACAGATCAAATAGACCGCGTAATCGAAGGAAAGAACCACGCAAGCTACTACTTACTCTTCTCCACAAGGCCAGTTACCTGATATTCCGGATAGCAAGAAGGCCAATTTGAGTTGCCATTGAGCCTGATGGAGACTGAAGATTGGTTATACATATCAGCCTCTGCACGAATGATTATGTTCAGGGTCTTGCCAAAGTGCCTCTTGGCCGGGGAGAAATCTCTTTACAGCTTCGTGTGGTAAAAGCTAGAAATGGAAAAATCTTAACTCTGAACGCCGTATTTTGATTTTTCTCCCCACCTAAGCCGATAGCTACGATACCCTCTTCTCATTCTCTCTCTAATTCACTCTTCTCAATCTCGCTTTGACCTCAGGCATATAAATACTTTTCAGACCTGTTTTCACTAAAAATATCTCCATGGATCATGGATGCACCTCAGCATCGCCCACAAAGCTATCTCGGTGTACTACCACAATGTCAGACAACGACAGAGAAATTAAGTTCACTGATTCCCGATTCTCAAGCTTGTTACAATACTCCTCACCCCTGGTAACCGGAAAGACAAAGCCACCGTTTCCCGTAACGGCCAGTTTAGGGGTGAAATCAAAGGCTCTGCCGCTTTCGGCATCGTAGAATGAGAGATCCTAGTATGGCAAGGAGGAGAGAAGTGTGTACTTCTATTCATCCGTTTGGTTAAACTGGAAAGAAGGCATAGTATGTTGCTCTGAAAAGTAGGCGGGGAGATATAGTATACTTGTATTCAATTCATCCCTCAAAATGAACTAGAAGGCTGACATTCTATGCATGCAGCCCATTGATACACCCGGGGAAGGGCATTAGAAGAATCAAACTTTCCAACTATGCTTTGGACGAGAGTATAGATCAAATAACGTAGTAGGACTTAGTCAGTTGTTAATCCGTTCACTTGCCAGTGAGAACCGAGCGTAGTGTTCGCATTGATGTTCTACGATTAGTATAGTACATATAGTAGGAAGAAACTTATGGAGTTAGAAGTTATTGTTCAACCAACTGGGAGCATCAATAGAACAACTCACATCTATCGAGGTGAATCTATCGGGAGAAAGAAGATCTACATTTGTTTTCTAGAGGTTCAATTAGTAGTAGGCTGATGTATGGAAACCTAGCCCCATATACTAATCCCAACCGAGGAGCACGTTAGATATAGTTAGGAAACTTACTTGTAGACGGACTTGCAATTGAACGAGAATATGCAGCCGGGCCTCAACAACAAGAACGTGCAAAGCGTCGGAGAGAATCCCTTTGCTCAACAGTTGCACACCCCAATACATCCCTTGGTTTTCGCAAGTTGCGAAAGTATTGGGCTTTGCGCGGATATTGATGGTAGTTAGTTGGTGGACATGTTGAGAGGGAACCTTGGGCGACAGTCAGGAAGAATAAGAAAGAAAAGAAAGAGAAAGAAAGAAGACGAAAAGGCAGGCATAAGACACGAGAACAAAAACGAGTAGCCATGAGGAGAAACGTCTAAAGAGTGGAATATCGGGAAGAGTAACTCCAAGAAATGACTACGAGAAAAGAAACATGAAGAAATCAAAAGAAAAGAAGAAAAGAGCCAACAAGGTAAAGTAAAAACTGGCTAGAATTCAAAAGTTTTAACACTTCCCAGATTACCAAACGGTATACAAAAGAAGATAAAGACATGAAAACAAATAAAAATGAAAGCTAAAAAGTTGACAAGATCCTCAACTATTCCCTTTAGCCCCCCACTCCTAACATTTATTCCCAGGCTTCGATCCCTCTATAATTATAACTTGCCAGCTGTGGCCTCGGACGTACACTCTCGTAGGCAATAGGAGCATATCTTCTCAGGCATGGTCAGGCACTTTAGGTACCTTTTTCTTCTTATCCTCTTTCTTCTTCTTCTCCTTTGCCGCGCGCTCCTCTGCTTGATCAATGACCTTGCAGGTTGCGCATTGGTGGCCCGGGAAACTGTAAATATCTGGATGGATAGGACACTGTACGACGTGGCCCTTCTTAGGACAGCGGGACCTATCCAAGGCGTGATTACCACCGGGGCTAGTGAGAATGTGTAAGTAGTGGGATTATGTAAAATATATGCGCAAATAAAAAATCAATATTAGAGAGAAACACATACCAGTGATGCATTTTTAATGGCTGAAGTTATTTATGCTTTGAAGGTTGTTGGTAAAAATGAATTTCTTTTTAACTTGTTATTACTTGAATTGCTGAGATCTTTTTGTGATGACGAGTAGAGAGGGGGAGGATTCAATATGTGTAAAAAGCTCTTTATGGATGTGTTTTTAAATTTAGAAGGCTGGAGTCCCATTGAATAATTCTGTCAGGCGCAAAATGTTTGGCGATTTCCATTTTTAATTTTGCACTCAACACGTTAGCGTCATTTCATGGGTCAGAGGTAAATGTAATAACAGTTGTATCATGTCTAGGCATAGCTATATAGGTAACACTGGGGTTCGGGACCAATAGTAACTGTCACTAAAAATCGGACTTGTACAATGCAGGGCAGATTCCGCAAGACCATACCCTTCACACCGTTTGTAATGAAATCATAATAAGTTCGAACTAGGATATAAGTGTTTTTCCACCTATAATCCACATATAAATACCACCCACAAGCTCCCGGGCCAAGGGGCCTCACGCGATTCTACACGACACTTGCGCCCTCCTGGCCAAAATCTATCATCCAAAAAAACCAATCTTTTTTAGGGAAGCATTCTACAGTCAGAGCTCTATACAAGGACAGCGGTATATATATCGCGGAGCGATTTTTCTACTGTGCCATTTATGCTCTTGTGGCAGTAAGGTTCACTTTTGCACCTAGGCTTTACTCATCTATACCCCCTACACCAATTCTATCTGGCAGTGGTATTAGCTTTTACACTCTCACCCCATATATACCACTAATACTTACGTGATATTAAATACCTTTCACTCTTGCACTTTCACACAATTACCATATCTGCCAAGGGTAAACCTACGGAAAATTGAAAATAACCAGCACTGTATCCTGCTCTTCGCCTTTACCTAGTCCTAGGTATATACTCCAACTCTACCTCTATTTTCATTCATCATTTTGAGACTCTTTTTCATCTCTTCCACTCTCAATCGGGTTAGTTCTTTTCCCACTTTTGCTTTATATTTCAATTTTGCCAAGCCGCGGCGTGCAACAAACTGTGTGTACATACACGCAGCACAAAGTATTTAAATACCACACCACACCACACCCTCGCCCTACATGAGCTTACCTCCCTGATCTGTAACGACAAACACCACAAAGGCTAACTACCTACTCCCTTACACCTTAGCATTTATTCTTCTGAAAGAAGTTCACTACCACTCCGCGAGGGAACGAAGAGATAAACCTAAATACAGAACTCAACTGTACAGCCAACATCAATTAAACAGAAAGATATCTCTGTCTAATGTGTCCCTCGTCTATAAACGAGAGCACCCCCCTCATGGCCGACACGCCCTATGGAACTGCCATGTACACAGTGTCTCCCTCCTCCCCTCTCTCTCACTCTATTCCACAAGAAAGTAGGTTATTCATCTCTCGTTTGCCTGCCTTTGTTTTCTCTCTTTTGTATCTCTCCCGTATATCTTTCTTACCTCATGAACTAATCAATTAACTCCTATAGACTCAGGTGTTGGAGTGAATGTGCTTACCCTTGCTTCGGCAATCTCACGTGCTTCAACTTCCACCAGCACTGATTCCTCTGATTCTGAGGATCCTTTCGCTCATTTTGAGTCACTACTTGCTAAAATTAACAATGATTGTATCATCTCCATGGCAGTTCGCATTTATCATGAACGTTCTGCAATGCCTTCATACGAGCGGGTCACCTGTGACCTTGTTTCTCCACCTCTCTGCGGATCCTTCAACTTACTTCACGTCTTGAACTTCTCGGACGGAACCAAATGGATCCTTCGAATCCCTATGGAAGGCATAGAAGGATTCCCTACAGATGGGCGTCAACTGGAATCGGAGGTGAAGACAATGCATTTCATCCGCAGAAACACCACTATTCCCATCCCTAATATTATTAGCTTTGATAGTACAACCGAAAATGAGGTTGGATGGCCTTATCTCATGATGGAATTTGTTGAAGGTACTCCTGTTTCTAGACTATGGTTCGATGAGACTGGGAAAACTCCACTCGAGGAGCGACGTCACAGAATTCTAGACACAATCGCCAGTGCCATGTCCCAGCTGAAGGATTTTAGCTTCAACAAAATTGGATCTCTTCAATTCGATGGGGACCCACGATCGGATTTGTTCCTTACCCCACATATTGGCTCGATAATCACACTCGACGAACAAAATGAAATGGCTCAGCGCAGAGAGGGAGTGGATACTGGCCCTCTATTCAAAATAATTGGCCCGTTTGCCAACTCGCAAGAATACCTTGTTGCTTTGTTGGACGGACAAGGTCCACCAGAAAGTCCTTACGCAATTGGAATGCACAAATTGTTTAGAATGATGATCAAATGTCTCCCGCTTTCACATGGCGATAAAGGCGAAGAATCATTCGAGATCACTCACCCAGACTTTGGTGGCCAGAACTTTCTTGCATCTGAAGACGGAACCTTGACCGCTGTTATTGATTGGGATAACGTCCACACTTCCCCTTTGTGGATTGGATGTCGCTCGTATCCGGCATGGCTCACCCGAGACTGGGACCCCATAATGTACGGCTATGGCAATCCGAATTGCATCCCCGAAGATTCGCCAGAAAAGCTCGAAGCATATCGTAAATACTACGCCGAAAAGATGGAATCTTTAGGTAGTGCCAGGTTTACTATCAAATCTCATCTCTATGAGTCTATCGTCATTGCTGCCACTAGTGCACTTTCTATCTATGAGATTGTGGACAAGTTCTTTCACCACATGTTTCCGAAGGAGGCTGAAGCGGCTTCTGATGAGGAAGATGAAGATGATACCGATGAGGATGATAGTGAAGATGGTGATGAGGTGAACAACGACGACGAAAACGGTTCCAAAAAAGACAAGAACATGGAGGTTGAGGATGATTCCGAGGAGGAGGAGGAGGAGGGTGATGAAAACGATGACGATGACGATGACGAGGATGACGATGAGGTTCCGGGTTTGTGGAAGGTTACTCAAGCGCTGGCTAGTGACGGTCTGAGCAAAAAGGTCGAGCAAAAGATCATCTCTAAAATGCAAGATTTACTATCGCTTCCGGAAGACGTCTCAACCATCTCGGTGGTTCACACAATCTCTAAGGCTGCAAAGATCTGGCAATTCATTGAAAAGTGGACTGGGGCCACATTGCTGTTCTCTTTCTGCGCATTTATTCTTCCTGCCGGTGTGTCCTCAGCAATCAAGAAATTGCCTCGTTTTATCAACTTCCTGCCGTGGCTTCGTGTTAAAACAAACGTGTCTAAAGTTTGATGGAGGGTTCGAAGATGGGCAGTCAGGATTACTCGGAGGTTTTCGTTTTGTTTTAATTTCAAAGGTAGAAGCGTTTTGAACGGGAGGTTGTAGAATTACTTGATTTGTACAATTGTATGAGTCGTTCTGGCCATGGGTTACAGTTTCTGGTGGAAGTTCATCCAGTAAATCTAGAAATAATCTGCAATAAATGAAGATTTACTTTTAGTCGGAGATTGCTTGATGATACAGAGTCTTATAAAAATCAAAAGGTTTAAATAAACCATAAGCCTTAAGTACCGCATTCCAATCTTTAAAACTTGTTCGATTGGGAGTCAATTCGGCTTAGCGTCTAAATAGTCGTTGTGGTCACGTCAGGAAGCATTATCATTGGTTGACAGACGAGCCAAAAACAAGAACATAAAGTAAAAACCGGTTAGAATTCAGAAGAAAACGGTATACAAAAGAAATAAAAATGAAAGCTAAAAAAGTTGATATTACATAAGATCCTCAACTCCTCCAGATCTCTTTGGCCCCCCACTCTGATCTTTTATTCCCAGGTCTTGCTCCTTCCATTCCAATTCGACTAAAGTCTGAGAGAAATCCCAAGCTTTGTGAGATGGTAGAGTTCTACCACTTTCCGTATTTCCTCTCAGGCTCCTTCTTGGGCTTGACCTCTTTCTTGGGATTTTCCTTCTCCTTCTCCTTCTCCTCCTTGAGCTCAGCTCTTTCCTTGGAGATACGCTCTACCTTGTAGGTTGGGCATTCGGCTCCAATCTTGAGATACCTGTTGGGGTGAAATTGGCACCTGTAGACATGGTCCTTCAGTTCGCAGCGGGACCTGTCCATAGTTTGGTAACAGCCCGGGCTGAAAAAGCAAGTATGTTAGCATTCCCGATGAAATATATTATAAATCTTGTAGGTGGGAGTGTATTAACTACCAATGGTGGTTACGAGGCATTGCTGAAGAGGCTTAATTGTAAGAATGGCAAATTATCTTGTTGTTTAGAAATTAGTTGTGACAGATTAATTGTGGGAGTATTATTTTCTGGGGATCTAAAAGACTAGTGAGACGGTCACGGTTTCTAATTTTAATGTCATGAATATTGGTTTTGCACTAGCTGTACCCTACCTTCCGACCCTCTATGTATATATATGTACATATTGTAAATAGTATTTTAAATTTTTAACAAATTTGCAACTCGAATATACATCTAGGTTCCGATTAAATTGGCTACATGTAGTACCTGTACTTACAGGCGCAGGTAGCAATACATGATTTACATGTAAATCTATGCGTTTTCGTACCTGAAAACCGCACCTGTAGAACCAGAAAAGGGATGTAATAGGTACGTACTTGCACTGTACGAATATATACAGAATTATGTAAATTCGAAAACTCGCGACCGCGAATTAAATTGGAATCTTCACTATTATACCGTAGAAATATTACCGTAGTAAACTTACCGTATTTTGCCAGATATGGTACTTCCTGATCCACCCACTTTTTATACAATCAAATGTAATATTCCCCGTAGTACATTTAGGCATAGTTTAAATAAACATTATGGGGTGTTTGATTAAACTATTCTGTTGTTTTGTTTAAACTAGATAGATAGTAGTGCAAGATAGTTTAATATAAACTATGCATAAACCACAGTTAAATTATGGTCTAAACTATCGGTAAACCACAGTTAAACTATGGTCTAAACTATCGGTAAACCACAGTTAAACTATCGGTAAACTATCGGTAAACCACATTTAAACTATCTTAAACTATCATATTGTTTAAACCAAACCATGTTTAAACAATGAAATAGTTTAACGATCACGCTTTTGTAGTTTACATATAGTTTACATATAGTTTATGCATTGTTTAGTACTGTACGAGCCAAATATGGAATAAATGCTCCACCGGAAGCGAATAAATCAGGTTTTGAATTGACATTTATCATTACTATATTATTTACAACTTGAATATATATATATTATACATCTCACTACATGCCTGCCTGCCTGCCTGCCTGCCTGTCCAGTAGGTGTTAAAATCATACTGTATTCGGTGCCCGCAGAAGCGTCGATATACTGCAGGATTTGGTGCCTGCAGCGGAGTCAGTAAAGACATCAAAATACTGGAAGGTAAATACGTATGTCACTGTAGGCGTCAATACAGACAGGCAAGAGGTAGGCGTCGATACAGGCAAGAGATAGGCGTTGATACAGGAAAGAGGTAGGTGTCGATACATGAAGGGGATATGCGCCGATACAAGTAGGAGGTAGTCCAGGGAAGAGGCAGGTGTAGATAGAGGCAGGTGTAGATAGAGGCAGGAAGTACATGTAGGTGTCGATCAGGAGGCAAGGTGGAAGTAGGTAAGGTAGGTAGGTACTAGTATACGTAGTGCCGATCCTCTGTTGAGTTAACATGAACGTGGCCATTATCTTGATTGAAGCTAGTCAATTAGCGATTTTGATAGTTTATTTAAACTATATATATACAAGAGTCTATCGATATTAATCTAGAAAATCTGGTAGTTTACTTAAACAATAATATCCTAGCTTTATCTAGAAAATCTGGTAGTTTAAACCAAACAACGGTCATAGTTTAAATAAACTATTAAGAGCTTGTAAACAACACAGTAGTTTGGATAAACATCTAAGCCACACCTAAACTACGATATTGTTTACCTAAACTACTGTGTTGCTTGCCCTAAACTACAGTAGTGCGGCCCGTTGTACCATAGGGTATTGGTGATCTCGAGCATAACTTTAAATTGCTTAACCATTTATCTTTTATTCCTTTAACTAACAGGTATACAATACCTTGTACATGTAGTTACAACGTAACATGTGTAATTAAGCTTAAGGCTTCGTTCGGACCGCCCGAATTGTTGCAGATTTGTATGGTAGAATGATGAATCAGGAGGAAAGCTCTACGTAATGTGGTGTTCGGACAGCCCAACTTATCCGTTAAGTGAGTTAAGGATAATGAGGTTTTGGTGGCTTTCAAATAATTACATCGAGAGGTAATTATTATTGGGGCTTAGGAAAGAGTCCCCTCTGATCATAATACCTGGATCCGATCCTCAATGTTGGAGGGCCTGATAATTTTGTCTTCCGAACTCCATCAGGCCGGCAAATAATGACTTATCTGTCTCAGGTCAGTTATGGACTTTCTTCTTTTAGGCGCATGATTTCTTTCCTCGTCCAAACAGAGCCTAAGTACATGATACATGTAGTTTATAAATAAAGTCATTTACGTACGTTCCGGTAGCTATAGAGATTTGGCACATGTACATGTACATTTAGATAACAAATTCTCCATATGGCCATGTCTGCATGTTTTGGGTTTGCACCCATCCCGTTCTCTCTACCCACATGATACTGGCGCGCGGTTCTCCGGGGTCTGCAACTTTAAATTTTGCACCCAACCCTGCATGTACGTCGTTCTTATATATACATAGGAGCCGTAGAAACCCGTTTTAAACTTTCCCAGCTTTCGTTAAACCAACTACAGCAACAACCTATATTGTAATTGCAGTACCGCCCGTCCCGACCTTCCTTCCTCCTTTCCCTTCTACACTTCTAGTCCAAGATTATCTGCTCGATTTGCACTTTTGCATTTTGCTATCGTATCAACTGAGTACAGACTTTATTTAACCACCACACTCACTCTTCGAATCTCTCCCCTGCCAGCTTTGAAAACACAACCACCAAAAAAGGTTCAACAACCAGCTTTCTCACCACAAAAAGCCTAAACTTCAAAATTAATCTCCTTTCCAAGGCAAAGCTTAAAGACTAGATTTACCAATGCCTTCCGCACATATGAATGAGACTTCCCCCATGGTCAATGGACAACATAATTCTGTCACTTACACCTCATCTCTCTCGTCTACCACTACCCCGTCTTCATTTCCCCCTCAAACTTGTGAGTGTTTAACCCTTGAGATCTCAACCCCGCAACCCCTTCTTCCCTCATCCTCCTTTGATTCCCCTCGTATGGTAAATTAACAAAGTTTTCACCATAGGTTCCATCCTAGAAGCCAATACCACTATGTTGCCGTCGCCTTCTCGCGCTTCATCCTATGCATCCCACCGATCCTCTGAATCCGTTGATTCCTTTACCAAGTTTGCCTCACTGCTTGTCAGAATCCAGCCAGAATCTATAACTGCTATGGCCCTCCGCATTCACCGGGAATGGTCACCGGGAATGGTCACCACACTCCTCAACCAATAAAGTCACTTGTACTCTAGTTTCACCTCCGCTTTGTGGCTCTTTCAACTTGATTCACGTTCTGAACTTCTCTGATGGTGTCAAGTGGGTCTTACGAATTCCTCTGGAAAACTCACAATCTAGCGAATCCTGCACCGTTGGGAGTCGTCTAGAGTCTGAAGTTATGACAATCCGTTTCATCCGCAAAAATACCACAACTCCCATTCCCGAAATTATCAAGTTTGACTATAACTCCGAAAATGAGATCGCATCTCCCTACATGATGATGCGGTTTGCCGAGGGATCCCCTGTGTGCCAACTCTGTTGGGATGAGACTGGCCCAACCCCACTGGAAGAGTGCAGGCATAGAATCCTAGATAATATTGCCAGTGCAATGTCACAGCTTTCACAGTTCACCTACCAAAAGATTGGGTCTTTACAATTCGCAGAAGACCCTCGATATAGTTTGTCTATTTTGCCCAACATTGGCCCAATCAATATCATCGATGAAGAGGCCGAGATGGAACAGCTGGACTCAGAGGCAGATACTTGTGCTGTATTCAAAAGCGCTGTTGTATTCAAAAACATTGGACCATTCACCAGCTCGCAAGAGTATATTACCGCCCTCCTTGACGCCCAACCACCTCCAGACGATTCGTACTCACTTGGAATGCAAAATCTGCTCAGAATGATGATTAAAAATCTTCCCCTTTCACGTCCCGTAGCAGGAATTGAAGGATCAGGAATTGAAGGATTTGAGCTTTCTCATCCTGACTTCAGTGGCCAAAACTTTCTTGCCTCCGAGGATGGAACTCTTACCGCAGCCATCGACTGGGACGATGTTCACACAGTCCCTGCATGGATCGGATGTTGTGCATACCCGGCATGGCTTACACGAGACTGGGACCCTCGATGTACGGCTACCCCGAGGCCGAGCGTGAAAACTCCCCAGAGGAACTCGACAAATACCGCAAATATTACGCTGCAAAGATGGCTTCCTTGGGTAGTGCTAAATTTACCATCAAGTCGGAAATTCACGAAGCCGTCTGCATTGCTGCATCCAGTCCCCTTTGCATTTACAACATCGTCGACAAAATATTTCATCACATGTTCCCGCCGCCGGAAAACGGAAACGGCTATAACTCAGATGATTTTGATTTATTCGAGGTGGCTGAAGCACTTGCTGGAGATATGCGCCCCGATGTATCCAGCTAAAGCTTCGAGCGTCTGCTGCCCGACTCAATCATTTACTACCAAGTATCATACGAGTACATCTTCATAGGCAGTCAACTATACTACCTTCGAAGATATAGCACGCCCAGTTGACATAGTCTTTTGTTATATCACTGGTGCCTTGACGTCGGTAGATTAGGGGGCGATATGAGTTTTCACGCGGGACTATCTCGCACCCCATTTGCGCAATGCATTCAAAATAGAAACCTGACACGTTGCGGCTTCCTAGGGCCAGATAGAGATGGTAAAAGTTTTATTAAAGTATGGGGACAATATAATCAACCTCAGGGACAGTGATGGCCATACGCCGGCGTACGTACTACGCTAATGTCACCAGTCATTGGCGTACACTCGATTATCTCCAGAGGAATGGTGGGGAATCACTCTAGCAACCTCGGATTCGAGATGCACTACTCACCGACGCGCACGGTTTATTTAATTGGCTTGGGGTATTATAATTTTACACCAAAGTGCTTAAATTTCTTCGGAAGAGCCTACTGTGATAATATTAATTTAGGTTCATCTACATACATGTATGTATTTACAGCCACTCAGCAAAAGTGTTCGTGATATAGTTTTAATGTCAGTACGCAGTGTGGTGCACCCGTAATACTGATCTTATTAAAGTTGAGATTCAAAACAACGAAAAATATATAATATAGTTTGTGACTATATATATAAAAAGAAGATAGGTCATTGATCTTATTCTTCATTAATTTGGGCGCCATTAGTCACTAGGAAAGTCTTCTCTTAGGGAGGGGGGTTCTTGATGGTCCGCCGCGGTTACATATGGAGAAATGTCTCACTCCGAAATCGGAATCACGAACACTTTTGCAGAGTGGCTGTACATATGGTGTAGAGTGAGCCAAATTACTGTGCCAATCAGACCCCGAGAAACGCAATGCAGCGCCGAAATAGTACAAAGAGAACTTTAAGGATATAGAAATCTAGCTAATTTATGTTGTCGTTGATAACGAGGGTACCGGTGTTTGAAATTATTTTTATGTGTATATATGTAGGTATGGTGCGCACACTCTTAAAGGTGATATAGCGGCATACGGAAGTGGAACAATTTTGGCTGCAATAGGGCCTCATGGGCCAATAAGAGGGCCCATTTCTAGCCATTCTGCTGCATTACTGCCAGGTTTGCTTTCCTGGGGGTATAAATGCACGTTGTTGGCCGCTTCTCCTTCGACGACGATTCGAAAAATGCGAGAATGAATAAAACTTCGATCAAGACAAAACGAGAGCAAGCATGTATAATTCGATGATGATGATGAGCAGACAAAAGAAACTAGCTAGAGGTAATCCATAATCTGGACACCTAAACGAACTGTCGCTGGCGCTATCACTACGTTTCCCTTTGCTGCGCCTGTCTCGGCAAATCCACGCGTCTACTGTATGACTAATGCTTGACCGTAAATCTGCCCAACAACGTGGATATAATATTGTTCAGTCTTGGCGCATTTTACATACAAAAAGACGCAATTTCAACTTCCTAAGGCTTTACAACCCAGACAGATATTAAAATTCTGGAAAAATAAAACGAAGGTTCATCACTATTACTATACTTCTATTTTTCCACTTTTTTGATATCATTCCTTGGTGGTGAAGTTATAAGCGATTGACTTTCCGTCACTTTATGAGTGGGCACACCATTACGGTCGGAGTGTCTTGGTCATGTGATCTGCTTCCAAGAGCTGATGTCTTGGCATTATGCTCGCTTAGTAATTGCGCCTGCCACCTCCATCGACCAACCTCACCTCAACACCATCCCACACATCACCACCCCTGCTGGCAGCGCATCGCATCATGGCTACCCCACCGTCACCGCCTCCTCCTTCCGACAATATCAAATACTTCTGGCAGCATCCGCAAAACACCTGGGACCTGATAGAGTACCTGGAGTGGTGTCGAAAGCTAGGCGATTACGAGCACGACATCGCGTTGTCCAGATGGGTGCGGTCGCTGGAGTCGATCGCCAACGACCCGGCCGAAAGCGAGGACCGCCGTGCCAAGGCACAGATCCTCCGCGAGAAATACAAGCGACGCAGCGTATGTATCTTTCTCCCCACCATTCCCCCGCTGCCAGCTTTGGGGACACAGGCACGGTTATTAGCCGTGCTTAGTGCGCAAGTTGTTTGCTTGTGAATCCAACGGTGCAAGTTACTAGCTTGTGATTGAAAACCAACTGTGCGATGCGAATCGATTGCAAGTTGAAACCAACGGACAGGCTACTAGCTTGAAAATTTCCAAAGGCTGGTGCAACTGGGCTGCAGATCGGGCGGCTTTCTAGGCCGTCCATCTCGGCCCCGGCTTGGGGGTTGCTAACGTGACTTTGTTCTGTGCGATAGGAAAAGGATCGCGCCCGTCAATGGCTCGCTCCCGAAGACTCGGGCACCGGAGGGAAGGATGGAAAAAAACCGAAAATCACCATTTTCAAAAACAAGGGGTCGTTCATCAATGCTATCAATGCTGGTAGCGATGTCCATATCGGCCATATTGAAACTAGTAAGACGCCGAAGAGGCCACTTGATAATGCAGTTGGAGATGGTAAATCTGGAGGTTCTGCTGACACTAAACGTCCAAAGAGCAAAATTCCCTCAGATGACGTAAGTAGCAACTATCAATGTCAGTGAGTGTGTCAATCAATCTTTAGCTGACCAGTGGGGTAGGTTATGGATGGAAGTTCACTCAATGAGGCATTTAAACTTTTTGAGTCTATCTACAAGCAGCAGCCATCGTCTGATCAGGATGAGTTGCTCAAAAACATAATACATAACGCTGTGACCGATCACTATCAGAAAGGGTCTGCCTGGTTGACTAAAGACAGTCCCATTCTTTCGTGGATCATTGATCTTAACGATCCTGAGGTGACTGGGTGGTTCTTGGACAAGGAGCTGGCAGCGTTGCGGGGCCGGATGAAAGCCTTACCATCGCCTGATGAGCACTTTGCCTACTCAGTCAATCGGTTTGCCAAGGTAAGTGGATACAATTCCAGTCAAGGTCGACAGGATTAACCCTTCAATGCAGGCAAGGACGGCCGAAGAGTACCAAACAATTCTCGAAACTGTTCCCTGTAGGCTACCGAACGTGGGGTATGATCGTGCGAAGCATTTCGACGCCGCATGGGTTAACTTTGTTATCCAAGCAATGTATGTTGATTTCACGGCTCTGCCCCCACCCACTCTCGCTAACTAATCACAGGCTCGCGTTATTTGGCTGCTACAGCAACTTGGATTCATGCTGCAACTTTCGGGAAGGCTGGTTCGACTCCAACATTTGGGCTCCTCTCATTGATCACTGCCTCCTTGGCCTCGATGGTGTAGTCGTGCAACGGTATGTAGCCAGACCGAAATAAGCTTGCATGCCTAGCCACGAAAAACTTATGCGGCGTTTTAGAAAGGAAATTAAATGCTTTGCCCTCAAACTCATTGGCAACAACAACCTGCGCTACGATGCCATCATTCACACGGCCAGAGACTTTGCCCCAATCGAGTACGCAGCCATAGAGGTGTCGAGGAGCATCGAGAACGAGGAGAGTCTGCCAGCGAAGAAATACGTGTCTGATAGCACTAAATTGGTCACTGGAATGCATTCCATGCTAAGACGTCTCCACATGCTTGTTGATCGCGACGAGCAAGCGACCAAGGATTTGCAAGTTGTTGGAATGCTGAACGAAGGTAAGCACCAAGAGGTCCTATCAACTGTCTACGTCCACTAACCCGTGTCTGCTCACACAGGCCTCAATATGCAAATCCTGCGCATGACTGGGCTCCCTGGCGGCTTATTTCTTTTGTCGCGGGGTGCGGTGCGAAGCGTCCCCACCAATATCGGCGATTTAGGGTCTATTTTCTCGTTGATGAACAGTATTGGCATGTTCAAGGTTAGCGCTCTCCCCCGCCCTTGTCAATCCTTGAGTAACCATCCATCTCACACTGTCCGTCTCTAGGCCATTATCCGGGAGTCCATCGCTGTTGTCGCGCAATACAAGGCGAAGAAAGCGGCCAAGAAAGACGATGCTGGCGACCTATACCAGCAGGTGATGGGGCAGAATGAGCTCTAGTGTATCGGGGCGTTTTGACATGAAGCCGCGGCCGGCTGGTACGGCTATTAATTATTAATACGACTGATGTGATACCTTTTAGGAACTATATTGAATTGATACTTTTCCACTACACTTTGTCCCTATGTCGCATTATGCAGTCCACTTTGCCTATTGAAGTCATGATTCGTTGGTGGTGGGGATGTGAGGAAGTTGTTTCAACATTTGTGATCCCTATGAAGAATATTTCGCAAGCTCTTGAAACAAGTCCATGTATTCACCATGAAGCTACTCGCATATCAAGTATGTATTTGCGCAACCAGCAAAACACACACAGAATCCAGAGAGCTTTCCCATCTCCCCTGAGATTATGTGTCTTCTATCCAGACACCTGAAAGACTCTACAGGCCACTTTTAGGCCATATCTACAACGAACAAGCACTGAAGGTGAAATGCGACTAAAAGGGTCCTTTTATGGCACCTTTATCACTATCTCAATTGGGCCAAGAACTTGAAGCATAGACCTCCTATATCATACTATACTTGGTCGTTGATATTTTGGTTTAGGTGTGGGACTTTTTATGAGTTGTTGAAAACCTCGATTTTTGGTGTGTTTTGCTGGTTGGGCAAATACATAATTGACGTGCGAGTACTGAATGTTTACCTCTACGGGTATATTACTCGACTCAACCCTTACGGTCCATCCTTGTGTCCATCCAAACCTTGAACCCGGAAATCCACCCAAACAACCTCCCAAAACTCAACCAAACCCATCCCACCACATAACGACTTGAACAAAAGTAAAGGGCAATCTCCCACCCCCGGATCATACCCATGACCAATTCGGGCCCCACAGCACTAGCCACCTCTGGAGGCGGAAATGATCAGCCGGCAGCTCTGCGCTCATTAGTAGTGTTACAAAAGTGGTTAGCCCCGGCGTCGGCTGCTTCGATCTAACCTAGTTGCATGGTATTTACAATTACTATTTGGGCAATACTCACTACAGCGGACCCCAGTGTACCTACGTACCTGCGGATTGAGTGCTCCGTTGTACATGTGTCTATAACACGGGCAATCAAGAAGTGTATCAGATATAATAGCAGTAGAAGAGAGTGCGATCAATATAATGTATGACAGACGCCTTTTTACTAGACTCCTCTCGCTCTGTGTACTCGCTCGCGCGCGCGGGTTATATCAGTTTTGGGGAGGGGGGTTAATTATCACGGGATTCAGCACTCCAAGTTTATTTGAGCCACACAAACGTAACGCAAGTGGTGGAAATGTAGCTATCCCATCCAATTCCGACGCCGACCGACGTGGATAATAGGGCCAGTCTGCTCTGCTCGGTCGTATGCATAGGCACCGTACTACTTGTATGTATCCATTGCCTGCAGCTGGGGCCCGGGTTGTTGAGAACCTCCAGCATATAATGGGTTCTGTTCTGCCTTCTTGCATGGTGCGCACGGGGCTGGCGGTGTAGCAGGGTAGCGGGGTCGGCCCGATTGAATTGGTTGTGTAAGGAAGCACTGTAATATCCAGTGCAGTGCAGATGGGGACTGTTGAAACCTCTGAGATTCTGATTAAGAATAATTTTGTGGTCTGCCGATTTATCAACACCACGCTAAGCCGAATTGGGTCTGCTTCGAGACAAGTACTCTACATACATGTATATCAGCTCTTGATATTGTTAATCGAGGAGTTGGTCTTAATATACATGTATGTGTCTTATATGCAGCTCACAAACTCTCCTGAAGGTATACACATGTGATCTGCAACCCGGTCAAATGTCAGCCTTTCCCCGTCAGCTCTCGGAGTAGTTCTTTGTCAATCCCGCACTAGGCTTCATTCTGAGCAGTAGAAACGCTTCGTTCGTGGTTATACCGGAGCTTAAGAAGCTTATCCTATTTAGATGGCTAGATAGATGTCACGAAAAGCGCCAGCTGAAATACCACTGAAACAAATAAATAAAAGAGCAAGTAAAAGAGTAGATGAGTAGATGGATAAAGGTTCCCAGCTAGTTATAAGCCTACATGATACACGCCAAACTAATTAAATTACCACCCCACCTGCAGCCCCGTACAACGAGAGAAAGCGCTCTCACAAAAAAGAAGAGAAGGAAAAAGCACAGAAAAAGAAGACCCATCTAAATGAGCCCCTCATGGTAATACTCATTCCCCCAACTATCCGTCCTCCACCCACCCACACACGCCTCCTGCCCCATCTGCTCAATCTCAGCCCTCACCTGTGCCGCCGCCAACATCTCCCTCGCCGCCGCCTCCGCCTCCACCTCCGCCTGCCTCCTCTTCAACTCCTTCATGGCCGGCGTCTCGCCCGCCTCCCTCTCCCTCTCGGCACGCTCCCGCTCCTCCCGCTCCCTCTCCAGCCGCTCAAACATAACCCTCGACCGCTCCACCAACACCCCACTAATGCGATCCCCCCTCGCCCTCGCCCCCGCATCCTCCCTCTCCGGAAAACACGCCCTCGGAATCGGCCCTGCGCCAACCCCCATCGCCCCGCCCGCCCCCGCCAGCAGCGTATTAAACCCCATCCACGCGTTCTCGGGCGCCTCCAATATCTCATCCAGCAGCATCCTGCGGAAGCCCTCCAGCAGCAGCAGCGGCATCCCGTTGACCACGGCCGACCCCGCGCGCGTGTCGACAACAAACGGATACGCATACTCCTGGAAGACGAACGCAATCTGCGCGTCGCTGGGGTCGAGCGTGGCGCCGTAGTGCGCCATGAGCGTGTGGAAGAGGGAGGGGAAGTTTGTTGACCCCGAGCGCCCCATGGCGGTGTAGAATGTTGCGAGCTGCTCGGGGGTGAGCGTGCGTGTGGGGGCGGGGGTGGAGAAGTGTGTGAATGCTGCGTCGGCGAGGCGGAGGAGGTGGGGTGTTGGGGTTAGCTGCGGGGTTGTGAGGGGTCCCCAGGGGTGAGGGGATGTGGCGGGGGAGTGCGGGGAGGAGGTTGATGAGAGCTGGCGCGGGGGGAGCGGGGGTGGCTGCTGCTGCTGCGGGGAGCGGAAGGGGACGGGGGGTGGCGGGGGCGGCGGGGGCGGGGGCGGCGGGGGGATGGTGAGGGTTGTGAGAGCGGCGGTGGGCGGCGGGGAGGTCGTCGGGACGTAGATGACGTGGAAGGCGTGGGCGCCTTCGTGGGGGGCTGTGAAGCGCGCGGAGAGATGGCAGGCCTGGCAGGTGTCGTAGTCGGTGCAGACGAGGCAGTGGAAGCGCGCGCTGACGGGGAAGATGCGCTTGTGGCAGCTGTTGCAGATGTAGTGGATCGCCATCGTCTCTCGCTCTCAGTCAGATGGATCAGATCTAGCTCTAGATGGATGGGGAGAGGTCTGCAGTGCGATGGGCAGTCGTTGTGTAACATGCACCGCGTGTCAGTGCTAGTAGCTGTCCCTTCCCTGCAACATGCACCCTATAACACTACCCCCATACACCTACACCCGCCATTATAACCAGAAAACTACCCAGACGAGTGATCAAACTCAGACGCCCCCGCTCACTGCTACTTTCTATCGCCACTGTACATGAAGGTAGAGATGGCATCGCTGGATATATGACTACTTTCTATCTACCCACTGCCCCCGTACACAGCAGAGACAGACACAGACACAGCACAACACAACACAACACAACACAACACAGACACTTCCCAATTCCCAATTCCCCCCCCACAGGCCCCGCGTCCCAATGCGGCCACGTCGGGTGTTGCGGCTGGATAGAGCCTCTTTACCCGCAGTCTCAAAGCAGCCCACACACCTATACTGCCGCACCTCATCTCAACATCACCACAACTATCACCAAGAAACAAATACTGCCGTCCACAAATGGCACTCACCCTCCCACCCACGACCATCTTCTGCGCCGCCCGCCTCCCGCTCCCGCCTCTCCTCCCCACGCTCCAAAAGGCCGTCTCCCTCCTCCTCCTCACCGCCAGCGAAGCAGCACTCTCATCACCACCCCCACCACCACCAACAGACTTCACCACGCTCGCCCCCCTCTCCACCCTCCCCATCACCATAACCCTCCACACCCCCCCACCCCCACCACCACAATATCAACAACAATAACCATCCACCGCCTCCTCACCTCCCAAAACTCCAACCTCATCCTCCTCGCCACCCTCCCCTCCCCCTTCGCCCCCACACCCCTCATCGCAAAACTCCGCCTCACCACCGCCGCCCCCACCCTCGCCGCCCACGCCCACGAGCTCTCCATACTCCGCCTCCTCACCCCGCACCCCCTCTTCCCATCCCTCGTCGCCCACGGCACAGCAGGCACACAACACGTGCCACTGCTACTAATGGAGTATCTCCCGCACCCCAGCCTCGCAGAGCTCCTCTGGGACCCTAACAGCGCGCTGTGGCGCGGCGAGTGGGGCGTGGGCGATAAGCGTGCGCTGCAGCGGGACGGGGTGTTATGGGGTGGGGTTGTGGCGGTGGTGGAGGCGTTGCGGGGGAGGGGGCTGCGGCAGGGTGATTTGAGGGGTGCGAATGTGGTGTATGATGTGGGCGGGGGGAGGGTGTGGGGGGTGGATTTGGAGGGGGTTGTGAGGGTGGAGGTGGAGAGGGGGGAGAGTGTGGATGTGCGGGTGGTTGTGGAGGAGTTTTGGAGGTTTGAGCTTTGTGCGCCGGGGGGGAGGGTTTGGTAGTGGTTGGAGTTGGAGTTGCGGTGCTGGGAGTGATGGGGGGGGTGGCAGCTGGATAGATATGGGCTATGGAGCTGTGGTTCTGGGGTTCTCGTAGTAATCGGTTTCGTCCATCGTGTGAGCTCTCGGTGACTGTTGTTGTTTTAAGTGATTGCAATACGGCTGGGGGTTCCGAATCTGAACCTGGAGTCGAGGCACTCCATTGAGGTTGCTGAGAGGGTGGAGAACTTTGAACTATCAGTTGTCGCATCAATCGCATAGGTAAGCTGTAAGCCCTCGAAAGCCAATTAGGGTAAACCAAACATCTACCACTCCAACCCGGCCTGTCGTCAGTAGTAGTAGCAGCAAACCATTACAAAAAGACCAGCCGATGCACACACAAACAGTTGTCAGTAAAGTACTTGCGACTAGCATTTTTAAACACCTGTCTCTCTACATTGCTATTATCTTCAAAACAAAACCCCGACGATCCTCGCCACCACCCGGAACTTGCCGCGCACTCTTTTTTTTCTTCTCCCACCTTCTTATCGATAAGCAGGGCCCGGGCGCTTTTAAGACTGACAGCCAGCGCGACCGGGGGAGGAGGCGGCGGAACATTCTTTTTCCGTGCGCGTAAAGTGCGTGCCGCCGTGACGGGCTGGTGTTTAGTAACGCTCAGATCTGTAAACTGGATATGGGTAAAGAAGACCCCTGGCGACGTCATCGGTCGCGTACCTATCTGTATCTGCCCATCTGTCTCTGTCTCTTCTGTTAGACAGCAGGACAATACTATAGGATAATCACTTACGCCAGCCGGAACAACACACGGAACAGTAAAGAGCGAGAAGCCAGATATTTCAGATCACTGAACAATTCGTACTGCGTGCATGGAAGACGATGTGCCGTCTCTTGGTGTTTGCGCTGGTAATGATGGGAGGTAGCAAAGACCGATAGATGGGAAACTCGTTTCGAGGCGGGGTTTGGTAGTTGGTTTTAGTAGGCAGTGGAGTGTCTGTATGTATGCTTCTCCCCCAGCACGGAAGGAATGCCGTGCAGGGGGTGACAGTTCAGAAGACGATCCATATCGATACTCCTCCTCCATGCTGTACTCTCTGCCAGTGTTTCGAGAAGCCAGCGGGAGACTCCCCCGACACAGCTACCGATCCCCTCATCCGGTGCATATCCTGAGTATCCTGAGTATCCACGGGCCCATGATGCAGCTCATTCGCTCGCTTGCATCTCCAGCGCCGGGGAAGAGACACCCCTGCCGAATCCGGGGGTTGAACTGCGGGGAGAAGGAGCCTCACCTCACCACCACCTCTTTCTTCAAGGGTAATGGAGAAGCCGCGGGTAAATGTTTAACCGCACACACACATCCTCTCACTTTCCCTCACTCACACTCGCAGTCTCGCTGCCGATGGCTGGTGCCGGGGTTTCCGGGTGCAGCGCTGCATTATTACACATTACACATTCTCTGAATGGATGGATGGATGCAAGACACGCAGATGGATGGGGGGATTAGTGTGCAGTGGCGATGGATGATGGTGTCTCTGTCCATCTCCAAGTCTACAAGCTATTCCATCAAGCCCCACCATTACTAGATTGCACTGCTCTTTGATAGATATATATTGACCCCCCCGCCCTCCCCCCGACCGACATGCTCTCACCATCACTCCGCTTCTCCTCCACCAGACACATATACACCCTCCCCCTCCACCACTGCACTACGAGATCCTCTGTTTCTGTTCCCCTCTTTGCCAGAAGCTATCTCCACTACCAGGCAGCAGTCACCACCACTACTACTAACATACCCCATAGATATAGATACTACTCCTCTACACCCGCTACAATGCCCGCAAAAGTCCAGCTCGACATCATCGTCGTCGGCGCCGGCCTCGGTGGTCTCGCCGCCGCAATCGCCCTCCGCCGCGGCGGCCACAACGTCACCATCCTCGAGCAAGCCGTTGCCCTCGGCGAGGTACCTCAACTCCCCCTCTCCACATAACCCTAACCCATACCACCCATCAATTCACTATACTAACATATCTCGAATCTTCACAGGTCGGCGCAGGCATCCAGATCCCGCCAAACTCGTCCAGGATCCTGATGAAGTGGGGCCTAAAGGAGAAGATGGAGAACCACGCGGTGATCCCAAAGGCGCTGATGCTGCGCGGCTACAAGGACGGCAAGATCCTGTCGACGCAGAACCTGGTGCCGTACACGCAGGACGTGTACAAGGGGCCCTACTGGCACGTGCACAGGGCCGACTTCCACAACACCATGGTGCAGGCGGCGCGCGACCTGGGGGTGAAGAGTGAGTTGCCCGAGATGTATTGATACAGAACATTGGGCCTAACATGGGGTGGCAGTCCAACTCAACTCCTGCGTCACCTCAATCGACTTCTCCGCGCCCTCTGTGACGCTCAAGACCGGCGCCACCGTCGCCGCAGACCTCATCATCGGCGCCGACGGGCTCAAGTCGCGCTGCCGCGAAGAGATGATGGGGCGCGCCGACCCCCCGCACCTCACGGGCGACCTGGCCTACCGCATCATCGTCAAAGCCGACGAGATGCGCAAGGACCCGGACCTGCGCGAGCTCACCGAGGACCCCGCCATCAACTTCTGGATGGGCCCCGACGCGCACGCCGCCTGCTACCTCCTCAAGGGCGGCGGGCTCTACAACATTGTGCTCCTGTGCCCGGACAACATGCCCGCCGATGTCCACATCATGACCACCGGGCCGGAGGAGGTGCGCGACTTCTTCAAGACGTGGGACCCGCGGCTGGGGAAGCTGCTCAACATGGTGCACGAGGTGTCTAAATGGCGGCTGCAGAACTCGCGCGAGATGGAGACGTGGCTACACCCGGAGGGGAAGTTTGTGCTCCTTGGCGACGCGTGCCATGCTACGCTGCCGTACTTGGCGCAGGGGGCGGCGATGGCCGTGGAGGATGGCGCGGTGCTGGGCGGGCTGCTGGAGAGGCTTGAGGACCGCGCGCAGCTGAAGGGGTTGCTGGCGGCGTATGAGAGTCTGAGGAAGAAGAGGACCACGAGGATCGTGCTGGAGAGTACGCACCAGAGGGATGTGTTCCATCTCCCCGATGGCCCCGTGCAGGAGGCGAGGGACGCGGAGCTGCTGAGGGATGAGTTGAAGCCCGGGTTCCCGAATAAGTGGAGGGATCCGGAGTTTCAGAAGTTCTTGTTTGGGTATGATGCGTTTGCGGAGGTGGAGACGGCGTGGGCGAGATTTAAGAGTGAGGGGAGTGTTAACAGTATGTTGTAGAAGGAAGGACTTGTAATGGGTTGATGGCTTTTTTTCTTTCTCTTTATGGTTCTGTTTTTTTGAGGTGTTGGGTCTTTTCTTTTGTGTTTGTGTCTTTGTTTATAGTCTGAAAAGGATATCATGTGGGCGTTTCTAGTAATATCTTTCTCAATGGTGAAAATGTGAATGTGGTCATTGGGGTTGTCCTCACTTGAGAGAACTAGATCGTCTGAACGCCGGGTTGGACAAGATCACCCCACTCAGCCCTAGCCCTGCCACCAAACACCGCTTTAGGCAGACTCGCAATAAGAGGAACCATGTGCAGATCATATATTCCTTTCTATAGAGTACACGATATATATATTACCCCGGGCGAACGAGAACGATGTCATCCACACAGTACCGGTTCATACGCTGCTCATGCCCTCCTCTTACGGCCAGTATTCCCGATACTGCTTTTCGAGAGAATCACGACAAACAAGACGCCTGGTAGGTATCTAGTCTCGCCTGGGTTGGGGGCCGAGTGAGTGGTTGTGAGCCAAGGCCCCCACATTGTACGTACATTCAATATTACGGTACATACCCTGTTCCTTGCAATTGATATTTGTGCTTGATTGGTTGCTGTTGGGGAGGAGCTCAGAAGACACCTCTTCTTCTAGAGAACACTTCTCGCTGTTCCAGAGACACCGTTCTCTAGGAAAGCACATAACACGTACCTACACGCCGCATGTCACCGAGGAGTTGAGCGCAAGACATGAACATCACAACTCGCGCTATCTATCCTAAGTTTCAAGAAGTGGAGACTGATTGAATTGTTACAGTTTAATCATACAATATCACTCGCCTCACACGATTCATGTAAAGAACTTACACCTTGTTTTTACTCTCGTAAGAACCGCCGAAATTTTACAATCATGGGTGTTCTCTATTGGTACTGTTAGCAAGGGACGAATACTCGAGAGTCCTCAGCCACCCTAAACTCTAGTGTGGGTGATTTACCTCTACTACTCCTCATCTTCGTCATCTTCCAGCTCATCTTCCTCATCCCACTCGTACTCCACATACTCCTCATCCTCCTCCCCATACTCCCTATCCTCCCCATCCTCCCCATCCTCCCCATCCTCCCCATCCTCATTCTCAGAGTCCAACTCAGAGAGATCACGCGGCAGCACACCGCCCCCCCACAACGCCGCCTTGACCAACAACTCCATCCCCCCCTGCATCCTCATAACCATCACAACACACCTCGTCAACCCCGCATCAAGCGAGGTCGCCCCACGAAACGGCCCATCCCCCACCATCAGGGCACTAAACCCCGCTCGATGCCGCATACACACCGCCAGCTCCCCGCGCGGCGCAAACTCCCTCCTACACGGCCCCAGCCACAACATCAGCCCCTCCTGCACGGCGCACCTCCGCCGGAGCAGCCGCATCCACTCGACGAGGCCGTGGTAGACGGCGAGCTCGGTGGCGTGCTTGTAGTACTGCATCAGCACGGAGAGGAGGAAGAGCGTCTGTCTGGCTGTGCTGGGGTAGTCGTGGCCCTCGTAGAAGATGCTGAGGAGAACGCCCACGAGGGACTTGATGACGGCCTCTAGGACGTATTTGTCGCGCAGCGTGTCGAGGATGAGGGGTGACCAGTGGGGGTCGAAGCGGGCGAAATCGCAGCTGGGATCGAGAGGTGGGACGCGCGGGGTGATTATGAATCGTAGTTCCAGAAGGGACGTGACTCGGTCGTGTCCGCGCCGGGATTCGATGCACCGGGCGAGGTAGAACATGTAGGAGCGGCTGGCTACTCTCTGGCGGACAATGACTGCTACCCTATTTGTTCACCGCCAGTGTTAGCTGAAGCTCAATTGATGTGATTTTATGAGAGATAGGTTATGATTAAGGTGTCGGCTCACAGGTCTCGAATGACAGGATCAGAGCTTCGCGCAAACACTGTCAATACCTCGACGCTGACAGCGGTGCCCAGGCGGCGGCTTAATATTCGCCTGGCTTCTGGTGAGTACATGGTGGATTTCAGGGCGACCAAAGTGTTGCCGCTCGCCACATATACAGTCTCATCCCGTGGAGCTTTCCTAGCTGCAGCACGAGTGCGACGGGCTTTGAGAGTCTGGAATTGGCACTGTGCTGTATAGGCTACACAGGAAGCAAGGATGCCTGGATTTGTTTAGTAAGATTCTGGAGGAGGACATCAGGAAGGGTAACTTGGAAACACACCAATTGCAAACCAGAGGCATCTGTCAGGATTCAGGAAGTTGGCTATCTGGGATCCGGAAGTTGAGGATGGCATTGTGGGCTACTTTGATTCTACGGAGGAGGGATTGATTGGGTGACGGAGAGAAAGATAGAGCAGCAGCATATTACGCATATTTATAGATGGGGGGGGGGGGGGGGGAGGCTCCACAGAATCACAATCCATATAGACGGGAGAGATCACACAGAATTTTAGAGAATAGCACTAGCCCCGCTTAGAGTCGTAAGGACGCTGTTGTGCGCGCCTTTTAGGATGGTTAAGAAGAACGGTTTTGAACGAACAAGTCGAGCTGATGGAGGATATACGTGCTCTAATTGTCGACTACGATGATATAGAGCAGATAAACAAGAAAATTCACCTCCTAATCCCGTATGAATTGAATCTACACCTGTGGTGAATGGCAGCGTCTTGTACTGTCCATATGTTATTGTTGGTGATATTACCCCTAACCCTGGTGCGAGCCATAATCCATGAGCCTACAGGATTTGCAGAGTAGCACGATCCCTTAACCCTAACCTCGGGGGCGCGTAAGCCATCCAAATCACATTTACGTGTATTATCGCTATCGGTGGCTGATAAACAAAGAATTGACATGTACGTACATGTAGTCCAAGGGTCGTGCCAAAGAGACAATCACTGTCGTCTTCAAGTAACCTCCGCTCCAGTAATGAATCGATCATCTCTATCTGCCCTTTTTTATACAATTCTCTGATAATAAGACCAAGGAATGGGCCGGCTTTTTATCGGAAGTGGTCAACTAGTACCACCCATACCTCTTTTATTACTTCTGAGATAAGTCGCAAAAACTCCCCCACACAAAGAAGCTAATATATCACAGCCGTATATTGCATGGTCCTCAATTATTCACATCTTTACGATCAAACAGTATGTATGTCCGAAGCTATGTCGCTCTCTACTAGAACGTATAATTTCTGATCAAGGACTCTTAAAGACACCCAGCCGCAGCTTTACCACACATTAATAAGAAAAGAGTCCACGTCCGCCGTATTATTCACATTAACACTCTCCAAGCCCTCAAACGTCAAGCTCTGCACACGATCCGGAAATTTGAACCCATGAATGACTGAAATATTCACCGTCGGCGAATTCCACGGATCCTGGGGATGTGTTGGGTTGAAAGCCACCCGCACTGGCTTCTGGTTTCCGACCTTCAACTTCCCATATGCAGTTACGTTCTGGTCGTTCTTATACCTGATCAGGATACTAGTAAGACCCTTCTTTACGCTCTTGGTGATGCCCTCGATTGTCAGTTTTCCATTCTCCGGGCCGCCAAGATCCACGACGCCGCTGCCTTTCTGGTAGAAGCCATCTGCTTGAACTGCAGTCGCGCCATTCTCGAGTTCTGCTGTCTCGGCTTCGTAAACCTTGTGGCTTGGGAACGATAGGTCGCCTGTGCGTGGGTCGATGGACCAGGAATCGTACCAGGTGAGGTTAAGGGTCCTGGTTTCGGTATTGAGCTCGAGTGGGAGCCAGATGTATGTGGAGGCGCCTAGGCCAGCGCGGTTTCCGGGTGACCAGCGGTCTCCCATGTAGACAAATGTCTTTCCAACACGTTGAACGTAGGAGCTTTGTGACTGATACGTCTTGGAGCCTGTGGCTGTGTCAGTTATGATCTCTATCGTGAATAGTCATTAGCTGAACTTACCGGCTGGGGTAAAAAGAGTCAAATCTGGATCACAGGTCAGTCAACTACTACTTCAATAAAGGATTCATGAGAGCGGCGCATACTTGACCAAGGGCCAGCTATATTCTCGGCAGTAGAATAATAATTGTCATTTGCAGCCCAACCTTAGATTACGCTTCTGTTAGTTATCTCCGATACTCTTTTTGTCGAGTTCAAAGCGCATACCCGTCAATTGTGATCCCAGAACATAGTAGACACCGTTATCATCCTTCATAATTGCCGGACTTTCGATGTGCTCATTGAAGTTATAAACCTCCGAATCGATCGTCAAAAAGTCATCCGACAACTTAAAGATAACCAACCCCGTGGGGCGATCCTAAATCCAATCAACATCACAAACTTCTTCTGGATATGGACTATATTTACTCACTTCTCCAAATAGATAACCTGTCCCGTCGTCATCCACCCACGCTGTCAGATCTCTCGACACGTATTTGTCCAGCGGTCTGTAGCTAGCCACATATGTGTAATCTCCACATACCGAATCTGACCAAGCTACGCCCGCTCTCGCGTACCCGTACCCCGGCTTGTCCACATGCATCCACATCACATACTTGTTTGTCTTTTCGTTATAGATGACCTTTGGTCGCTCAATGATACCCTCTGGAGATAGGTCCGAATTGCCCTCGGCTGTGGCCTTCAAAATGTCATTCACAAACTCCCACTGCACAAGGTCCTTGGACTTGTAGCAGGCAACTGTTTGGAAGAGGTTGTCACCGGGTTTTGCGGTCTTGTTCTCGCCAACGATGTAGAACGTGTCGTCGATCTTTATGATCCCACCGCCGTGCGCTTGAAGGTGATTCCCAGTGTTGGGGACTGTCCAAGTTGCACCTGGTACGATCTCCAGGCCGTCGGCGAGCACAAAGCTCACGAGAGAGACAAAGAGTAATACAAGAAAAGAAGTCTTCATCGCGTGCGAAAAGGTTGATCAATAATTGCACGATGTGTAGCTCTGCATGAAAGGCCTGTCTATTTTGCCATTATCTGCAGTTTCTGGATGTTTATATTACCGGATCAGAGAACTCCGGAGGGGCCCGAGAGATACAAAGACACCCTATATGCTCTCTAGCTCTAAGAGGATTTGCCGTTTTCTGTTTAAATTAATATGGTCAAAAATTTTGTTCTAGATCTTTGAATAAGGCCGCTGATAATCCCGGCTGCGCCGCGCTGGGCAGGTATCGCGCCCGGCGCTTCGACCGGGGATATCTTAGCAGAACTCAGCACATAACCACATGTGAATTTCAACCCCTAGTTTAGGTGCCAATACTAATTTGAAAATCATATATGCTCCAAATATGAGCGCCACTAGATTGCAAGTGTGATACGCCCAGATACGAGTGCCGCCAAAGTGAAGTAATGTGATTTGCCCGTATTCACAATATATCACTCGGTTGCTTATGTAAGGCGAATACATAACCGGGTTTATCTTTCGATGCAGCTCCAAGCTTTTTCTGCCCCCAAATCGTGACTGGCATTTACGAAGAAACTAATCACTAGTATAACGTTTAGACTCCTCCTTTTTAACTCGCGGTAAACCCAAAATTTCCCTCGTCTCCCATTCATTACATCAATCGCCTCTTAATCATAATCTTTTTGGAATAGTTAACAGTTGTATTTTACAGAAAAGGTCCAAAATGACTAGACGTGCTCTACAATAACACATGAATGCAAGATGACACAGTTCGGTATAATCCAAAACGAATACATCAATTAGTATACGTATTGGCTGAGCAATGATAATATCGAAGGGTCGGGTTCAAGTTCGATCTTCATCTTGGCACACTGCCAAGCTAGCTCAAGTATCACCTCGGGCACAGCATCCACTATGGGCGGGTGGTCTAGTAGATAGACTGCTCGTCGACACCGAGAGTACCCAGGATACAACCAACCACACATAAGGTCCTGGGTTCAAACCAGGGGTGGGGGTAGCAGCCGCAAATGTCTTAATAAGTCGCTGCAGTACCTTTTGTAGTTTTGTACCTTTTGTAGTTTTATAGAACGCTTTGTTCTCCTTTTTTACGTCTTGTAGTGACAGCGAACTGTGTCTTTTTGCATCGTGTGTCATTTCGGAGCACGTATACCGAAAACTGTGTCATTTTAAGCCTTTTCCGTACATTTTATTAAAATCACCCCGAGCTTGACTCTAGCTCATTTAGATCGAAAGCTTTCGAGGCCTCAGCTCTGAACAGATATTCTGTCATTCTCGTTAGGGACCAGATTCAATAGCCGTATTGCGGTACCATATCCCTGTATTTTTTGTAAACAATCCTACCCCTGGAAGTCAACGTCTTCGGGATGATCGACACCGAATAGCCTAGATTTGTTGCTCTCCCCCACAATGATCGACGGATATGAAATGCGGAGGATCTACCGGTGCTTCCCCGGGCTTAATGTTGCCCGCATAGTTGTATCCCTGTAGGGCAAGAGTAAAGCTAGCGATAGATGTTTTTCTTTTTCTTTCTTTTTGACGAACTTGACCTCAATTCGCTATTAGGAGATGTTAGATATAAAACCATTCAAGTCCAAAGAGATGTAATAAACCAACCGACGAATTCCCCCAAGTTGTTGGTCGAGCAGAGGTGATTTTGAGGATGAAGGCAAGTCTAGATTAGTACGGTGAATGTCTTCCATAGGTATAATCAGCTAACACTTCGATTCATAGATCTCAGCGCTATCGGTAATCTTTGCGGCGGCCCTTGCCGGTCTTTCAACAGCACAAATTGGACCTCTCTTCCCAATCACCGCCTCCGGAGCCGCCCCTGTGAAATTCACAAAGACCAATAACTATGATTTCCAGCACCCGGGGATCCTCCACTCCCATGACGACCTCGAGCGTATACGCGAGAAGGTAGTTTCCAACACCGAGCCATGGAAATCCTACTTCACAATCTTCTCCAATTTGACCTCCGCGAGCTATAACTATGTCATGACTACACCCCGCCAAAACGTGTCCCGAAACAGCATTACACAAGGAACCACAAACAGTGGATTTGAGCGGGACGCGACCGCTGCGTACCACAATGCCCTTATGTGGTACATTACCCGTGATGAGCGACATGCGAATAAGTCTGCCGAGATCCTTAATCTTTGGGGCACTACCCTCAAGATATACGATGGCTTGGATGCAAATCTGGGTGTTGCAGAGGGCGGTATGAGGATGGTGAATGCGGCCGAGATCCTCCGTCATGAGTATGGCTGGGTTGAAACGGGGATGAAATGGCAGGGGACATCAGGTTTCTCTGGTATGGTTTATCGCGCCCTTGCACCAGCGGTCACGGCGCCCGGGCAGGCCAATTATGGAATGGCGAGCATTTTGGCGTTGCTCGGTATTGCTGTATATCTTGAGGATGTGGTGATGTATAATTATGCCCTAAATGAGTACCAGAATGGTGTATGTGGTGGACTTGTTGGCACAGTCAACCCCACCACTGGACAGAACTCGGAGAGTGGTCGTGATCAAGGTAGGTCATGCTATATCGATTTCCGGTAGAGGGGGATTATTACTGACATCTAAATCATAGGCCATGCATGGGGAGGTATTGGTAACCTTGCAATCGCTAGTCAAACTGTGCTCAATCAAGGCGGTGACCTTTATGGACTTCAGGACGACCTCATGCTCAAAGGTACAGAGTATCTTTCCAAATTCAACCTCAATGGAACGGTCCCGTATGATCCTAAGTATGCGCGATGTGAAAGTATCCTCGTTGGCGGCCCTTGGCCAGAAAATTCCCGTATTAACCAGAGGGTGGAAGCTTGGGTTTTGACAATGGTGTATAATCATTTTATAAAGCTCAAGAGAAGAACGGCGAGATGGACAGAAAAAGCCTTTAATTCCGTCAGCGTGAGCGCTGACACTGCTGTATACTATTTAGCGTTTACTAGATAGAAGGGTGGGAACCAAGTTAGAGCCTGTTAATTTCCGTCTGGCCCTGGCCTTCTTACTCTCATGCTTTCTGCAATTAATGAATTAAACAAAAAAAAAAAAAAAAAAAAAAAAACTCTCATGCTTTCAAAGGGATCGAGTGATATTCAATGAAGGTTGAACAGAGGAACGCACGAATGCGTCGATAGTAGATACGCGCACTAAATTTCCTATGGTTGGGACCTGACTCAAACCGCTATAACTGCAGCTGGGTTAACGCACATGTGGTCTCTTTAAGGGGAGTAGAAAACTAGTACATGTCGTTCACCATTGCTGCCATGCCCACAGCCGCGGTTGCCTAGGCCGCTTGGCGACAGGGATTGTGGGCTTCCCAGGAATTCGGGATCTACTATTTCGGAGCTTATTATTGCGAGTTATCAAAATTATCCGAGCATTGTTGCAATCAAATTTTTAACTTCAACGTCGCCTTTCTCCACAACCATAAGGAGGGAGTACAAGTGATTTGATTACTGTGATTTCTTGTGCCTCTATTACTTTAAGGTTCAATATAAGCTCAATTAAAGTAGTTTCAAAATTTGGTTATTCTAGCCAATTTATGTGTGGTTGCGGCGCGAGCGTCCGGATAATTTTGATAACCCATAATACATCACGGGAATAATGCGCCAAGGTTTTGGAGAAGAGAGAGCGATTTAGATGAAGCAAACTATCTGAAGTGTCCGAACACGCATGACAATTGTTTCTTTCGGCAGGGTCCGGTTAGTGACGGTAAATCGAGACGTCGACATAGACTCAAGCCTGCGCCTGAGCTATGCTGATCGATGCCAATTCGTCATATTATAGACATTAGCACCCTCAATTTTAGCTCTAATAAAAGAATTGGATTGGAAAGCTTAAGCTTAAGAAATAGGTGGCTAATGAGCAACTTCAATTGCCTCCCTCAGAAGGTTGGGTCCATCCGGCCATCCCGAGATATACGCCATCACTGGCCAGTTCTATGTTTCCGTCACGCTAGCTTAGTTCACCCTACACATAAAAACCGTTCCAACCCACCTTTAACCTCGAAATCCATCTCTAGATCTTACCGCATTTCAAAGAGCTTAGATAATTATATTTTAGGCAATGGCAGCCCCAAGTACTACACATTCTAGGTTCCTACCTTCGGAAAATCAACTTGGTGTCGTTGCTGTAGGCTTCTCTGGCGGCCAGGTACTTTTTAGCTTTCAAACCTTCTCTTTGAGTCTTATTGATGTCCCAGAGTACTAACGTTAGAAGCCCAAACCTGGTGTGGAAGCAGCACCTCTAGCTCTCATCAAATCTGGCCTCCTCGATTCATTGCGCAATGACCTCGAGTTTGTTGTACACCACGATAACCAAGTCCATGACTTCACGGAGTATTTTCCTACTTCGGACCCGCCTCTCATAATTTCCAATGCCCGTGTACCTATGCTCAATTCCCTTACGGTATCCAATGTGACATGTGCCATTTCTGCCCAAGTTTATGAACATGCTTCGAAGGGCCGCCTCGTACTCACTCTTGGAGGGGACCATTCCATCGCTGTTGGATCTATTGCAGGGACCGCAAAGGCTATTCGTGAGCGTCATGACGGAAGAGAAACCGCCGTAGTCTGGGTTGATGCTCACACTGATATCAACACGCCCGAGACTTCGGGGTCGGGGAATATCCACGGAATGCCTGTTGCGTTTATTTCAGGCCTTGCAAAGCCTCCGAGAGAAAGTCCTAGCGTCTTTGGATGGATAAAGAAGCATCATATGATCAATATTTCAAAACTCGTATACATTGGATTAAGGGATGTTGATCCGGGTGAGAAAATCATCTTGCGTGAGAATGGTATTCGTGCATTCAGTATGCATGATGTTGACAAGTACGGCATTGGTAAAGTTATGGATATGGCACTGGATTATCTGAACTGTGGTCCCGGGCAGGAAGGAATGCCAATACACCTGAGTTTCGATGTTGATGCTTTAGATCCTGTCTTGTGAGCTTATTTAGATCCCAAAAACCCTATATACCTAAATCAAAATGCTGATTGCATATAGCGCCCCGAGTACAGGGACACCCGTCCGTGGTGGTCTGACACTGAGAGAAGGCGATTTTATCTGCGAAAGTATCCATGAGACTGGTTGTCTTGTTGCAATGGATTTGGTAGGCATCCCAGTACCCCATAACCTCAGTGAGTGGAATACAACTAACGGTCTACAGGTTGAGGTCAATCCCCTATTGGGTGAGAACGATCTCGCCAGAAAGGAAACTATCCGCTCAGGATGTAGCTTAGTACGCTGTGCCTTGGGCGAAAGCTTACTTTGATTTCCTGTTTCCTTGCGCACGCATGCGGCATTCGTTCGGTTATCTAGATTCCCTTGGGGGTTTCGAGGAGATGTATACTCTTTCTCGGGACCTCACAAGGCTGTATGGGTTGTTCAAAGCTTATTAATGATTATTAAGCCCTTTTCTCTAGGGCCTTGAGATTAGCATTGTCTTAAAACCGCGGGATTTTCGTCCAAGGATCTTCGTGTTCTAACTCCATTTACGCACCCCCGATTCTTTGATACTCAATAATTTACATAATATTCAAATATGAGATCTTTCCTGCAATATATATATATAGGGTTATTTTAATTCGATGTGATTTTATTTGTTATTCTCTCAATACCGGCAATAGGATGGATAATCTTTTAGTGCTGTGTACTTGAAATCCTCAATCTGTCCGTAAGCTTAATTGAAGTTCAAAATATCAAAGACAGAAAGCCACTGTTTTGTAGGCCGCAAAGCCTTCTATATGGAGCATGTTGAAAATGGATATCCAGAACCCTTTTTTTTTTCTCTCTCTCTCTCTTAACTATACAGATAAGATGTGGTTACTGGCGATACGGTACTCTATTCTCTACTATAATGTTTCTAGCGCATGAGTATTCTACATCCTGGCAGGAAAAGGGATAATCAGAAGACGTCCTTCTGTTGGTACCGGGGTTGCCGTTTCTTGCATGTAGGTATTGTCGATCACAACGTGAGTCCCATTGAACTCATAGGTACACATGACCCATATATATAAGTCTCAAAATATATATATCGATATTACCCCTTTTTTGTATACGGGGGCTAAAGTCCACAGAATCTGTTATCATTAATAGATATTCATGCCCATGCATGGTCACTGGAGGATCTTCGTAGGCAGCTCATGCAAGTGGTCAAGTGGTCAATTCAAACGTCGGTACTTTACCTTTCCGTTTAATTATTCCGATGAGGCCGGGATTTCCGATGAGTGCATCTTCATACTACTCGTATTCCGCACACATCATATTGCCCGGCCCTGCGCTGCGCATATCAAATTTTGCACACATCATATGATCTCTTCCGGCCCGAATTCGATACTTAAGTAATGGCCCTTCTCGCTCTCGATAGCTACATATCAAACTCGGTTCGAACTGAATTTCAGAGAAATAGTTTAGAAACAAAACGGGGCACGTATGAGTCGGTCAACATCTTCACCACCTTCCCACACGAGCGGCCATCCAAAGACCTAGTACCACGACTAGCCTGATAGCAGCAAACAAAAGGTATCTATAGCTTGATGTTATATATATGATCGCGATGAAAGTCATACTCTAAGACCCTATACCAGTCTACTACTCATCACCAGCTACGACTTCCCAACAGAAACCATTATCGACCTATTAGAAAACCACAAGAATGTATATCCTTCCCGTAAAAACTTATTAGATCTAGTCCATTGGATCCCCAAACTAATATTAAATAGGATACCTCTTAAAGTCGCCCCGAACCTCACTTTCCAGCTAGCCCTGGACGAACATATCAAACAACTTTCTACGAAAGAGCATCGAGAATTCAATGACACAAATAATACGTCAATAGATTTACTCATTCGTCAAGTCCGAGAATTCGATGAAGTCCACAAGCAGGCTGGTGTCTCCTGTACGGAAAATATCGAAGGGTTTATGACTTCTTTACGCGGGTACCTCGAACATTTGTCACCTTTGATTCCTCACCAGGAACTTGAGATAAAATCGCTTATTATGGAAAGGATAAGCCTGGTCATCGACGTTCGTATATAATTTTTATCTCTTTCACCTTAAGTGTTATTTTGGACCCCCCCCCCCCCCTAACTGAAATTATATTTATAGCTCGGATTGAGGTTCACGGCCGTTTTTATAAAGGTTACCGATATGATTAAGCACATCCTAGGGGTCACCGATTCTCCGGAAGTCCAAAAGGTTAGTACTACAAAAAATAGTAGAAAATGTAATTTAGCTAACCCCATGAAAAGATCTTGTTTCACGTTTACAGTAACCTACTTGAATTTTATAACTATGCTCGGAGTATCTTTACAGACGATAATAGAAATCCATCTAGTAAGTAATAGTTTATCTACGATATACTCGTTTTCAGCTAATCTTTTAAAGGCTGTACATCGTTCCGAGTGTTTCTTAGGGACAGGTAGGAACTATTCGAGGAAATATTTGATAGTATAAATCATCAATTCCTGGAAAATCTCGAGATTATTACTCCAGCAGACTGCATTGTTGATCCTGAGTGGTTACATTTGAAGGAAACACTGGAAGCCCAAAAGAATGAAGGTGGGTACCCAAAGCTCTAAGGAAACTAGTTTCGCTAAGATGCGTTTCAGAGAAGAAGAAAAAGAAGTTGCAGCACTGGTTATCGAAGCTGGAACCCGAAAATGACCACGATATATTGTATTCAAAGAGGCACGGAAACACTGGGGATTGGCTTGTTGAATCAGATTCTTCCAAAAATTGGCTTGAAAGCCAAGGATCTTGTATTTTGTGGTGCTTTGGGAGTCGTGAGTACCCCCCTCAACGGAATTTCGTGTTCGGAATGGCTAATAATAAAAGCAGACGGTATAGGAGAATCCGTTCTAGCGTTAGCTCTACACTCTTACTGGCCCCTTCTATGAGACTTCTTACTAATAAGAATATTAGGTCACTGGTTATAGAGAAGCTTTCCGTCAAATATTCTCTAGACGACCGCAGCACCGGTCTGGCATTTTTTTACTACAAACACCAAAACAGTGCCGGGCAAAGTTCAAAAAGGATTCTTGCGACACTTATTAAGCAACTTATTCAAGGGGAGAAGATTTTGCTTGCTTCATTAAAGAAATTTCATGGCCGATATTCTTCGGAAGGTGGATTACCAAGCAATGCAAAGCTTCAGGCTCAACTTGTCGAGGTCTCCAAAACCTTCGACCAAGTTATTATTTTTATAGATGCTCTCGACGAATTCCAAGATCAAGATCAAAACTCATTCATCCCTCTTATTAAAATCCTTTGCCTGAACCCAGGTCTCAATATCAAGGTTTTTGTCACCAGAACAAGGGAGAAGTCTATTGAAGACTCATTTCAGGCACTCATTTGTCCAGTAATTAAAATTGACATCGAAAGAATAAGGCCCGATCTTGATATTGCGGGCTTCGTTGCTTCGGAGGTAGAACGTCGAAGTAAAAACTACATCCGCGGTGTGATCGATCGGAAGATTAAGGAAAGAATCAAGGCTTCCTTGGTATCTAGATCACGTGGGAGGTTAGTTAGCTCTCATAAATGATATCTGAAATCAACCCCTAAAATTTAACAGGTTTCTATGGGTCAATTTCCAGTTGATGTACCTATACAGTCAGCCGTCTCTCAAAGACATCGAAAATGCCTTGTGTTCACTCCCTTCCGATATGGGCACAACCTATGATTATTGTTTCAAGAAGATCGAGGCGGAGATTCCAACCCTACGTAAGCTGGCAAAGCGAGCTTTGACGTGGGTACTTTTTGCAGCAAGGCCCTTAAGCGTCGGGGAGTTGGTCCATGCGATTATCATTGAGGAATCAATGGAAAGCAAGAGAGTACCGTATCTTTATAATGGGTATACCATCATTCAATCCTGTGCCAATCTTATTACAATCGAAGGCGGCGTCATAAGACCAGCTCACCACACTGTTCAATATCTACTTTACCCACAGCTTGTATTGAAGGAGTACGTAGCGAAGCCCTGCAAAGCTACAGAATTCTCGGGCATAACGCACATGCTGAGTTAGCTCAAGCTTGTCTTCAATACTTACTCCGCGATGAGTTCCAACAACTCTTCAGGCCATTTACCTGGACAAATGCTATACCTCCTCACCCGGACTGGTTTCAGAAAGATAAACTTCTCCAATACGCAGTTTACTATTGGGACTACCACATTCGTAATGTTGTCGAGTGGCCTGAGTTTCTCATCCATAGTTTGGAGCGCTTCCTCTCAAGCCAGTCAATTATTGCATTTGTCTATAAAATACGCATCGCCAAAATCACTAGACTTAAACTAGGCCTTTTACATGACTTAGCCGGCCATGACAGAATTGATGGGTTTGCACTCTGTTTGTGGTTGGGGCTCCTCAAGGTCCATGAGAAGTTCAATAAAACGAACGTTAATTCCCTGGAGGAATATACATCTCTAATGCATCAAGCTGCACTTAGCGGCTCTTTGGATTCCATTGAGACACTGTTGGATATGGGTTTCTCCGCAAATTCCCAAAACCACAACGGGATACAGCCATTGTATTGTGCTTGCGAAATCGATGATGAGGCAGTAGTAAAGCTTCTGCTGGAAAGAGGCGCCGAGCCCGACGCCCGAGGTGGATTCCACGAAACCGCGCTACAAGCAGCATCCTACAACGGGAAAATTGTAGTGGTGAAGGCCCTCCTTGAGAAAGGCGCAAAGGTTAATTTCCAAGGTGGAGATTACGGGAATGCCCTACAAGCAGCGGCCTAGAGCAGAAACGAGACATTGGTGGATTTCCTGCTCGAGAGAGGTGCGGATGTCAACGCCCACGGTGGTCGTTATAGAAGCGCCCTTCAAGCAGCAGCAATTGGGGAAAACGAGACGATAGTAAAGACCCTCCTTGAGCGGGGAGCCGAGATCAATTCCCCAGGCGGAGAGTTTGGCACCCCGCTGCAAGCAGCAGTCTTCAGCAGAAACGAAGCCTTGGTAGACGTTCTCTTAGAGAAGGGCGCTGATGTAAATATCACGGGTGGATTCGGTGGTAGTGCCCTTCAAGCAGCAGCGACTAACGGGAATGAGACGATGGTGAGGAAACTCCTGGAGAAAGGCGCCGATGCCAATGCCCAAGGAGGCACATTCGGCAGTGCCCTACAGGCCGCGGCCACCTACGGGTACGAGATGGTAGTAAAGACTCTAATCGATCAAGGGGCAAATATCAATGCGCAAGGTGGGTTAAGGGGAACTGCCCTCCAGGCAGCAGCCATCCTCGGGAACGAGATAGTCGTAAAGCTATTGCTTGAGAAGGGCGCGGATAGTTCCTTGCGTACAGAGCATGCCACCACGCAGAGTAAAAAGCTTATAGAATCGACCAAGAAAAGGATAACAGCAGACATTATGGCGAGGGCCGAAACATAGCGGAGGGATAAGATAGTACTGTTGTAGATTTGCATGCTTTTGGGAGAGCACAGCTTTCGACGATTCGAGTCTATGTCCGCGTAGTTACCTTGACCGTCATATTGTTTTCTTTCTTATGTTTCCATCCAGCTCTTCCTACCGTATCAGGCTTCTCGATGAAGTATTTCCCGTCCCTTAATTGTTGCTTATGTTTTACTTTCACCCCGCAGGTTGGACTGTGAGGTTCATGCTATGTATTCAGTTTTTTATAGAATAATGGGGTGAATATACGAACCCAGAAAGTAGCGCTGGATATAAAGGCTCCCCTCCCTTCAGGGAGTCCAGGCCGTACGATGCTGCAGTTAGCTGAGAGGTTAGCCTGGAACAAGACGAAGCAGCAGCTCGCTGTGACATTAGCTTAACTATTCGCCAAGACACGACAGTGCTAAGAACCAAATGGCACTAGTGATCACGAACTATCACTCGCGCGCATATCCACCTCACCACACACACCCCCATGAATGGCCGTAACCAACCCAACCCAACCCGACCACCATCAACACATCAACTCCACCCCAGAAAAAGTATTCCAAGCCCAAACCCCAGATTCCAAGTTTCAGTCCATTCCATTCCATTTCGACTAACGCACAATCACACACACAGAGACACACATGTACTACAGAGATGTACTGATAAACCCCCGTGGCCACTCTCTCATGCAAGCACCGACAGACACACACGCTCATAGACACAATTTACCCCCTCCTCCTCCTCCTCCTCCTCCACCACCACCGCCATCCACCCATCCATCCACTACCCCGAGATACTGTACTCCAGGGCACCAACACCAGCACCAACACCAACACCAACACCAGCTGTAGCAACAAAAAACAAAACTACAAGGTAGTCCACAATTTGAATTGTCCCTTCAATGCCTTCCAGAAATAGAGCAATAAGGGGGGGGAAGGGGGGAAAGAAAAAGGAAAAAGCATTGGAGCGCCCTAATAACACACAGATATAAAATGAAAAAAAAATGAAAATGAAAAAAAAGTGGAAAATAAAAAAACACTGGGGATCAAATTAACAGGGCGGGGGTGGGGGGATGTGTTAGAACTTTTCGCCGGGCTTGGACATGTATTGCGATAGAACTTTGTTCATCGTGCTACGCGCAACATAGGTGTCAAGTCAGCTGGACAATTCAAAAGGTGGTACAGGAGGGGAAAGGAAAGGGCGAAAGGGAGAGAAACATACAACATGTGGATCTTGTCGCCGAATATGGGCTTCATCGAGTCGTCGCAGAGGATGTAGCGGCGGTCGTCGGGGTCTTGTAATCCGCGCTCTCTCACGTACTGCCATATCCTCTTAACCGTCTCGGGGCGCGACAACTAACACATACAACACACACATCAGCACCGCCATCTACAAGATCTAACCAAACCGCCAGCGCGCGCATAAAGTCCCTTACCTGCGACTCCCCCAAAAAGCCCGCCAGAGGCTCCGACAGCACCATGGGCATATTGAACGGGCTGTTTGGGTTGACCTTTCTCTTCCTCTTCTTTGTCTTTCCCGCGGCATCGCCGCCCCCCTCCTCCCCGTCCGAGTGTACCAGCTCCTCACTCTTCTTGCCCCTCTTCTTTGCGGCCGCCGTGCCGCCCGCCGCGCCCTTCTTGGTCGCGCGGCTGGGGCGCCCGCTGTTCCATTGCGCGTGGAGCTCCGCGGCGAGCCGGGCGTCCTCGTCGACGGAGGTTTTGAGCTTCTTGGGCTTGGGCGGGCGGACGGGGGCGTCGTCTTCGGCTTTGACGCTGTGCGCGATCGCGTCGGAGGAGGAGGTGGGTGTGGGAGCAGCGTCGGATGAGGAGGTGGGGGCGGGGCTGGGAGCGGGAGCGGGGCTGGGAGCTCCTTGCTCGGCGAGGAGGACGGCGTCGAAGCGTTTGGCGATTGTGATGTCAATGGCTTTCTGGTGGGGAGATTAGTCCCTTGTTTTTCGCGGGCATGAAGTAAGGGGGCAGTGTGTGTGTGTGCAGAGAATAAAGAGAGATAATAAGAAATGGGGAGAACGGAAGCATTGCGGCGCGCGCAATAGATGGAAGAAAGAAAGAAAACAATAACAATACGCATAGATGTATAAATTATGCTCCTTATCCGTGGCATATAATAGCAGATAGATATTTTGCAATCAGTCACTCACCTTCTGCGGGGTTATATCGTATCCCAGCCTTGCCTGCAGCGCATTCCGGACCTGCTTGACCGACACTGTCGCCAAATCCGACGCCCTCAATATCTCATCAATAACCGGGACAAACTACTCTCGTCAGCCCAAGCCCCAGCAGCAGTGACGACACTTGTCCTCCCCCTAGATACACACGGTGGTAGTTAATATTCTCCCACCTTTAGCTTGATCTCATCGGACACTATCTTTCGTCAGCGTCGTCGCAGTATAACGGCAGGAGGAGCATGGGGAGTAGGAGTAGGAGCAATTATGATGAACAGTAGGAGTAGGATGATTGGAGGAAGATGAGGAAGAGGAAGAGAGAGGTACATGCGGCCGAAGGAGAAGAAGTAGTAGTAGAAGCCATTTAGTTGTTAGGTTGGCGGGTGGTTCCGGGAAGTTGAATTGGGAGTTGAGGGGTTCGCGGGAGTATGGCGCATCAAGGAGCGGGTTTCGCGGTGGGCCCTTGATGGAGCGTTGGGTTGGTGGGTTGGTGGGTTGGTGGGTTGGTGGGTTGGACTGTTGACGTACGGGAACAGAAGATGTCCTGGGCTGTGTTGACCGATCGATGGATGGGATAGGTGGAGTGGCTGGGCTTTGGGGGGAGGCCAGGTAGAGGGCGGGGTTAGGGGTGCGGGTGTGGCTGGGGTGGGGGGTGGGAGTGTTGAGTTGTGGCGCTTGTGTGGGGGGGGGGATGAATGTTGGAGACTGGGGTAGTCAGCTGGGCAGAGGTGAGACTGCGGGAGTGCCAACTGTTGGTTTGCTCTTTGTTTGCTCTCTGGCCTGTTTTGTTGTTTCTCTTTAGTTAGTCGTGTCTGTCCTCTGCAATTGATCATTATTGAGGTCATAGCAACACCACACGGCGCCTCCCTCTCATCTCATCACAACAATTGCAGCTGCACTCTGCATGATGCCGCCCAAAAGCAACATCAGATAAGATTAGATCCGAGATATCTTGATTACTGACCTCTATCCTGGCCAGTCCAACATTACAGTGCAGTTGGGGCTCAGGTCGGTACTTTAATAATTGGAAGCAACACGCACAGTCGTGGTGATATGCTTCAATTCGAGAGAAAAACTGAATACATACCCCAGTGGGTGAACAATTGGCATATCCAGAGTTACACAGCACTATAAATATCTAGCCAGGAATGATGTCACCCCAAGCAAACCAAACCTCAACACCACAAAAAAGGGTCACCACTTTAGCATAACTCTCAATTCGAAGTCTACATCTACAATGGCTCTCAGAGTATTTCCCCTAAATCGATTCAATGCATAGATAGGGATACAGCTAACCTCAGCAGACACTGACCGCGAAGCGTGCTGCTGCACTTGATAAAGAGCTCATGTCGACTGGCGGTTTCTCGCTCGACCAGCTTATGGAGCTCGCAGGGTATGAACACTCACCTCCAAACAATATATTTCCCCACCACTAACTTCCTGCAGCCTTGCCGTTGCCCAAGCCAGTAAATAAATCCCTCCCACAACTCCCACTCCTACAATCATTAGCTCACAATCAACTAACCTTCCCAAACGCAGTCTACAAAACCCACCCCCCCAGCACCCACCCGCGCCTCCTCATCGCCTGCGGGCCCGGCAACAACGGCGGCGACGGCCTCGTCGCCGCCCGCCACCTCCACCTCTTCTCCTACAAGCCCACCGTCTACTACCCCAAACCCTCCAAAGGCGAGCACTTCACCCGCCTCACCACGCAGCTGCACTCCCTCCACATCCCATTCACCACCGACTTCCGCACGGCGCTCAAAGACACGGACCACGTCGTTGACGCCCTCTTTGGGTTCTCGTTCGATCCCTCGGGCGGGATACGTGCGCCATTCGACGACGCGATCAAGGCAATGAGTGAGGAGGGGGTGGGGGTCACGAGCGTGGATGTGCCGAGTGGGTGGGGGGTTGATGAGGGTGAGGGAGAGTTGAAGCCGGATGTGTTGGTGAGTTTAACAGCGCCGAAGGGGGTGGTGAGGGGGTTTCGGGGGAGGCACTTTATTGGGGGGAGGTTTGTGGGGGAGGAGTTGGCGAGGAGGTGGGGGGTGGGAGTGCCGCCGTATGAGGGGACGGATCAGGTTGTGGAGGTGCCGGTGGGGGATGTGGTAGTTGTGGATGGGGAGGGGGCGGAGCAGGGGAGGGAGAAGTTGTAGGTATTTGTTGCAAATGGGGTGCCCATTGGCTAGGAAATCGTGATATCAAATAAAAACGTCTCAATCCTTCTGATACAGCAGCCTAATAGTAAAAGGATTCACTGAATGCAATTGGAGGACTTATCAGACTCATGAATCGCACTTAAAATCTCCTGTCTAAGAAAAATCCATTGAAATCAAAAATATTCTAAATACAAAAAATATAAACATATATAAAAGCATTAATCTAGGAGTTTCAATCAGATCGACATGTATAAAGTATCAACATCAACAATAAGTGTTATCTGTGCTTGACTCTATAAAAATTCTTCATCACCTTGAAACTCCCTTTTCCATGCTAAGGTCCAGCCCACACGACCGAGCATCTCACCCCAACCTCAAACCAACCAACCAACCAGCCCATCAGCCCCAAAAAGAAGCTAGCAGACCGACCAATCAATCAATCGTCAGTATTCACAGGATGCGCTTTACCTTAAGCTACAGACCCTGGATAAAAAAAGAGGATTGTTGAACCCCCTCGCACCAAGAATGAGCCCCGTTGAGTTACAACCCCCCCCCCCCCCCACAAAGAAGGGGGGGGGGGAAGCAATCGCATGACTATACCAACGCGACGAAAAGTTTCTGCACCCACCGGGCCCCCACCTGGGATGGACTCATATCTTCGTCCCGCGCAATGAAGGCGGACGGGAGCCGGCGGTGGGTGAGAGGGAACTTCTATGTTCCGTGTGCGTTTCCGCTGCCGTGCCCGCAGGGCAGGTTCGTCCGGGGACTTTCTCCCAAAGCATGAGGATGAGAAGGCGCAAGAAGCGCCCGCTCCGTGTGTGAGCTTCGATAAGCGATTCTTTGGGCGAGGGGGTTGCGGAGAAGGTTGGGTGTGGGTGGAAATCTTTTTTTATAGGCCTGGGGGGTTACCCGGCTCGGGGCGGGAAATTTTTTTTTTTCTTGGCTTGTGAGGCCTTCTTTGGCTTTGAGAGCGTTGCCGAGAATTGCATCATGGGAAGGAATATCTTGGCGATTGTGCCCAGAGTTTGGGCTCACATCTGTGCTCGTCCTGAGCTAGAAGCTCTTTACTCTATGTTGGATGTCATCTAAACCCCCCTAGAATTGGGCTTAGGCACCCTCGATATCTATGGGCCTGGTGGAAGAGCTAGTTGAATCTTCTGTCTTGATCATGAGCCTTGAAACGGAGAAAAAGGCACCCTCATCTCTATCACGAGAGTCACTAACATCCCTTACCAGCATTTACCACCCAGGTTTCGTCGCCAGCGCCTACCCTCAACTACGAATAGAGAGCTACCTCCAGCGAGATGACTGCTAGCAAGAAGTTCCACCGTGCTGATACCGATTGAGATAATCGAATTTGGTAATACGAAGATCATCAACAAGCTACCCCGCCAGTCCAAAGCTCTCATAACTGACCTCTACTTCTCGAGGAATGTTAGGGGCCCAATGAGCTTTATTCTACATTGGTTTTATCGCCTATGATGATATCTGTTCCGGCGTGTGGATAGAATTACACCTGTTTTAAAAAAAAACACTTAGATGTGGTGCATTCTTCCATCCAATGGGCAATCCGAGAGAGCGATGGTGTTTTCCAAACCAGCACTCTACGAGATGAAGTCGCCCTCGAAACTGCCGATTAGATGAGTCATCGCATCACGTGCACTTTACCACGATGCCAGATCTCTCAGGTCCGTCCGATAAGCACACAGCATGATCTTACCGGTGATGCCGATAGTCTCATGTTTAGTTTACCTCGAGTCCCGGGGATCTAGCGGGAACTCAAGACTGTGCATTTGGAGCTTCCTGATTGGTGGCATGTTATGTAAAGTGAAATCTGCATGGGTGGCACTCAGGTTGGTTGTAGAGTTGCCTAGGTAAAGTAATAGTTAGAGTGCAAAGTGCAACCCCCACATCAGTATTCGCAACATAGCTACATTACCTACATACAAGCACGATAAAACATCTGTAATATACCTGTGAACCCACCCCCAGAGAGTTATCCCGAGGCTATATCTGCACAGGGTTAGGGCTGGCACTGCATCGCGTCATCCGGCTATCACTTTTTGAAATCCCGTCGTCTCCCCGCGACACTTCCATCTGTCCAGACACGAATTGTACAAATTATACCAAATCTGCCTCCTCCTCCCTCTATCTCTGTCCCTGATACCTCATCTTAGCTCTGCTTCTCTCATAACTGTCAGCAGCATAACAATACCTTCAAAATGGCCCACCCCACGATCACCACCTCAGCGACTACGCTGTCCACCTCCTTCTGCCCGGCCTCGACGACACCAGCAGTCATTATTCCCGGCCGTTCCCCACTGACACTCTCCTACGCGCAGCTTTACCAGCAGACGAGTGCCTTCCAGCGCACCCTCGCGTCAATCGGTATCGCCCCACACTCCGCCGTCTCAATCGCGCTGCCAAACAACCTCGAATTTATCATCTCCTTCCTTGCTGTCGCAGCCCAGCGCGCTATCGCGGCGCCATTGAACCCAAACTACAAACAGTCCGAGTTTGAGTTCTATATCGATGACCTCAAGAGCGCTCTGATCATTGTTCCTGCTGGCGCTGTAGCTGCAGATGCGCCTGCTGTCAAAGCTGCTAGAAAGTTTGGCGCTGCGGTGGCGGAGGTTGCCTGGGACGCCGGAAAGGGCGAGGTTGTGTTGGTGGTGAAGGAGAAGGGTTCATTGAAGGGTGTAGTCCCTGTAGCCAAGGCGGAGGAGGAGGATGTGGCGTTGGTGCTGCATACCAGCGGTACTACGGGGAGACCCAAGGCGGTACCGTTGACGCACAGGAACTTGACAAGAACAATGAGTATGTTCACCCTCAATCTCCTAGTAATTGGCTGGCCTTTTGCGGTTAGCATGTCTCGTAGCGCTCCTAGAATCCCTACCAAATTATCATTTCCTCCTTAATTCCTGATCATTACCCCTACTAACATAGTTCTCCACAGGCAACATCAAGGCCACCTACCAGCTGTCGCCCGCAGACCGCACCTACCTCGTGATGCCTCTATTCCACGTTCACGGTCTGCTCGCTGGCTTCCTCGCCCCCCTCCTCTCCGGGGGAACTGTCATTGTCCCACCAAAGTTCTCTGCCAAAGAGTTCTGGCACGACTTCATCACGCACGGCGCAACATGGTACACTGCCGTGCCAACAATTCACCAAATTCTCCTCAAGTCCCCGCTTCCAAACCCAATTCCCAAAATCCGCTTCATCCGCTCCTGCTCCTCCCCACTCTCCCCTACCACCTTCCACGCACTCGAGGCAGCCCTCAAGGCTCCCGTGCTCGAGGCCTACGCGATGACTGAAGCAGCCCACCAAATGACTTCGAACCCTCTTCCTCCAGCCGCGCGCAAGCCTGGCACGGTTGGTCTCGGCCAGGGCGTCGACGTTGCTATCCTCGACGACAACGGTAACGAGGTCCCGCAGGGTAAGGAGGGCGAGATCTCTATCCGCGGTGTCAATGTCACAAAGGGGTACATCAACAACCCGAAGGCCAATGCCGAATCCTTCACGGCATCAGGCTACTTCCGTACCGGCGATCAAGGTCGCAAGGACGAGGATGGCTATGTGCAGATCACAGGGCGCATCAAGGAGCTCATCAACCGCGGAGGTGAGAAAATTTCGCCGATTGAGGTCGATAACGCGCTCGCGGCACATCCTTCTGTCGGTGAAGCGGTCTCCTTCGCCATGGAGAGTGAGATGTATGGGCAGGAGGTTGGCGCCGCGATTGTGTTGAAGGAGGGCAAGAAGGTTACCGAGGAGGAGTTGAAGAAGTTTGTGGGTGAGAAGTTGAGTAAATTCAAGGTCCCTGTGAAGATATGGTTTGTCGATAACATGCCCAAGACGGCGACGGGGAAGATCCAGAGGAGAGTGGTGGCAGCGGAGATGGCCAAGAAGGAGGCACCAGTGAAAGCGAAGTTGTAGTATACTTTGTGCGTTTTTTTTTCCCCCGTTGTTTTGCCGTTCTTTTTTCTCTCTTTTGTAGGATACATAGGTTGCTTAAAAATTCAAAGTTTCCTTTTGTCGTTAACGTAGACAATGCCTCTTCAATGGGCGTTATCCGCTGTTGAAGTAATAGTTTCCTTATACAAATTCTGAATACAAACTACCTAAGATACTGTGCTCGGTGGGTCAAATTGGCTCATAATACGAATCGAAAAGAAATAAAGGGGTAAACTCGCCCTCGCTGCTAATCATAATAAATGTTCCTTTCTGCCTACACATTCCTCAATCTTCTTCTCCGGAGCCAAAAAAAACGTATTTGTCTTGCTCTCAGCGTCATAAGAGGGGAGAAATTCTGTATCCATACCCGCCTGTACATCCATCAACTAACCTACATTTCCAATACCCATCCCCACAATCCAATACTTTTGTCGACCGTGGGCATGAAAGTACTGAGAATAACACCGAGATCCAATTCCGCAAGTCGGTACTGCAAGTTTGTCTATTAATTGGTACTGCATAATCCAAAACACAAAAGCGAAGAGAGAAGGTACTAAGGCAATTCAAAGGTCTCCAGCCGTCCTTACATAGACAGAAGCAGTATACATATCCACATCGTAAACTGAGCTGATAGAGCCGCCTTCGACGTCCTAGGTTCGGCAGATCTATATACAGCTTCGGCGAGGACGGGCAGCGCCAACAATAAACGGTAAATACCGTCTATCGATACACAAAGCTTGATCCACGCCACATAAACACTGTCGGCTGACACGGAAAGGGCCGAAGGGTTAGAATCGTTGTTTCCATGTGCCGAGACATCGTTCCGAAGTTTGAAAACAGATAGTGAGTGATAATTGGTGCTTAAGCATTGGTAGATGGCTTTTTCTCTGGCCGGGGGGCGTGGGCCGGGTTGTTTGATGATGTGTATGGAATAATACGCACATTGTATCCTAAACGTGATGGCAAAGTAAATGTAGTAACGATCCCCTCAGATGTAGTACAGACTATAATCGGATAACCCATGTCAGACTTAACATCGTCTACATGTACACAAATGCAGCCCTATCTTCTTCGAAGCCTCGATTAGTTCATTCATAGATTCTCACTCGGTTCACGAATGTGGTACCAAGTAGGTTGATTTGGTTGCTTTGGTTGATTGATTCGACAGCAACAACATAAGGACATGTAGCTTCACATACGGATTTTACATACGAAGTAATAGAGATCATGATTGTAAGCATAAATCAAGAGATTCACGCGTTTTTTCATTTGTCTAGTACTACGTGAGTGGCGGCGGATGAGAACGGGTAGTTTAGGGGACATTGCCATAACTGTAAGGTTGCATGCAATTAATGAATTAAACAAAAAAAAAAAAAGAGATTCACGCGTTTTTTGGCTTATATAAACTAGGAATATCACAGATTGCACTTGAGAACAAAACCAAATGTTTCTTGTAAAAATATTACTAACATCAACTCTCCTTTAACTTAATTCATAATACTATGGCCTGTCTTACCCTTACGTCCATCGACTTGTGGTTATGTGGCTCGTTCCTGAACCATTAACCTACATAGATATTTTACACACTATATTCACAATCTCATAGATATAATTGAGCGGGGAATTAGGAGCCGAGTGATATATTATGATTCTTGTGACCTCCATGACATACACCCAGCATCACTATGACCTGACTCTCATACGAGCTTAAGGATCCACAGAAATATCTCAAGTAGGTTTCCGACGAGTCTACATGATACAACGGTAATGTCGAATCACCAGGACTAGTACTATATTCATAGCCTGACACTCGTACGAGCATAGATAGATCCTGTTATAACTAAGGTAAGTTAACTACCTATCGGGAATAAGTAGATGTCTCAACTGCTGTTCTTAATGTTTCTTGATGTTGGAGTGCTACATTCTATAAGCATGTTAGCACCCACGCCCTTCCGAATCATGGCGCAGCAAATCCACCCACTTTCTATATGTCAAAACAAAGTAGCATCATGTATGATATACCGATCTCAGGCATAGTTACAATGTATCGATCCCATTGATATACGAACGGTAGTAACCATCGCTTTATACCCATCATCATCACCACCAACTAGAGAGACATAGCGGAGAATTAAGGTTTTCCTCATTCCATGCCGAATCCCATGTGCAAGTCTACGGATTATTACCCGTTCAGGTTTCATCCTCTTGAAACCCTCAACCACGGTAGATCCAGAGTTATTTTGATGTGCGTTCCCGAGAAAGGAAAAAAGTGTTTCGGGATCAGATGAGCGTTCGTTCCACACATCACGTGATACGGTCGATGGATGAGGTCTTTCTTTCCTTTTTTTGGCATTAGAAACTTCCGGTCCAGGTTTGTTTTACAGTAATTGTCAGAATCGGAACGAGAACCACACGTGGGTATTAGGGAAGATGTTGATGTCGGTAGAAAACGTACGTATAATATTTGAGTGCATACATGGCCGGCCGGGGATAGTAAAGTAGGTATAAGTGGCCAATCAACACCGAACGGACCCGGAATATTTATAGCTATTACACCAGAGTCAAATTTTCCGTTGTTCCAGAAAAATCATTGGTCCTGATGTGCTAGCCTTTTGTTTTGTTTTGCTCGTATGTACGAAATGTAGTCCTTCCGGCGGCGGGTCACTTGACAGCCACGCTAACTTGAGTTACCCCTCCAAACATCATACTTGTTGCCCCACCATCGTCAAAATTCTTCCTTCTGAGTACTACGGGTTTTAACGTTAATTCTCTCAATCAAAGTAAGTAAGCAAACCGTGCTCCCTCTCTATGCATCATCTTATCGTGCCCTCTTCCTGCTGCTGCTGTCGCAGTATTCCCGCTATCGGTCTGTCGGCCTTTTTCCCGCATTTTGCACTGGCGTTATGACCAGCATGCAGGCACCTTTTGGAAGAATTCACTCAATAAGTGGCGACTCTAAGGATGAATTTACCTCGCTCTCATGTATGTAGTTAGCTATCATGAGGGGGCGCAGTGCTATTATTCTTGCGTTACAGTTCCATGAAGCGAACGATAGGTACAAGGAGGTCAAAAAAGAGTTGTACTTACCTTCTCCCCCGCGCACCAGATAAGATCCTCCAAATTCTCCGGCGGTAACACCTAGCTCGCCTCGCCCGCACATAGCTCACCATGTCCCCATCAACAGCCGGTAAAAAGAAAACTTATGTCGTAGAACGTAACTTCCCCCTCTCCTCTTCCCTCCCTCAGCCATCCTACCCGTCAAGCCGCTAATGTACCTGACAGATATGGAACCCGAGATGGGAGCTTGGTCTACCCTCGAGTATGCCATCATCTCCCGCGAGTCTGCCGCGTCCGGTAGTGACTTCTACCTCACCTCTGTTCCAGCATCACTTGTTTCGAACCTCCCAGAGGCGCTGAAGCCGTACGTGGGTGCGCCGCTGAAGGTGACGGAGGAGGAGGTTACCAAGGTGTCAAGCGGCGAGAGAGACAGGGTGTGTTTGTTGGATCCGCGCGCGGAGAAGGAGTTGTCGCCGGGAGATGCTGAGGTTTTTGATTGGTTTGTCTTCGGAGGAATTTTGGGTCGGTAGATTTTCTGTCATGGGAGTGTGGGGGGGGGGGGGTGATGGGAATCTTGGGGGGATGTGTGATATGAAGTTGTTTGATGTGCCGTGATGAACTGCGAGTAAGCTAACAAACTACTTCTACGGGTTAGGTGACGATCCACCAAGAGGTACCTTACCCCCCCCCCCCCCGGGGGGCGCGTCTTTCTCCCATCACCGATGCTAAAGCTAATCTCCCCTCAGATCGCACCGGAGAACTTCGTAAGCTTGGATACGAAGGTCGGCGCCTCGGAAGTCTGCAAATGACTACCGACACCGCAGTGCGTGTTACTCGCATAGTTATCGAGGATCAAAGTAACCCCCGACCTCCGTTTCTTCCCATCTCCCAGATACATACTTATGCAATACAGTTCCTCTTGATAAAATTCCATATTCGGACTACCCAGAGCTGAAACTCAACAAGAATGAGGCTACACAGATGCCATTTAGATATGTCAGGGGCAATGATGGGAAGCCGATTATGCCTGAGGTATGTATATGTGGATGCGGGTTCTTCTTGGGTTGAGCTAATTGGGTGAGAATAGGGGATGTTAGAACTCATCGAGGAAGATGCAGATAAGAGGTTTGATGACTTTTTCTAGGGGTTCTCACCAATGGCGCTGTAGAAACATATTTGCGTAAATTGATGTCCACTAGAAAGTGATTGGCTGTGGTTAAATCCGCGGTATATTATCGAGTGATAATCTATGAATATGGGTAAGCAAGTATTGGGGTATGAGATGATCACCCCAGGTCTATATTAATAGGCATTATCTCGCTTTATCGATTTATAGATAAATATCGAAATAAGGTGTGGCTGGAAAGGTCACTCATGCGACCTCCGGTTACATACTGTAAGCGTTTGCGTCTTCGAATCGAGCTTGGAGTTTGATTAGGATACTTAATATGATGAATATATTGATGTAAAAGGCTTCATATACTTGTGTGTGTCTGATATACTAAGATCCTACAGTTTATTCTACAGTGTATCCCAGAGGACGTTCTAGTGAGAGATTGTGTTGCTTGCTAATGTACCGCCGCACTGTAGCCTCTAGGAGGCGCTAGAAATTAAAGGGTGGCTAGTGGCAAGCCAATCAGGTTTGCGTTCTTTTCAGTTGTAGGTCAGATCAATCTATCAGCCCATCTCACCCCATCGCGGATCCTTTCACAGTACAACCCCAGGTTTATGGCTATATCAAGGCCCATTACTATCTTACACAAACCCCTTTCTAGAGACCTAAAAATATGTCAGGCAGATCTTAATCAATCATCACAGCTTGTGAGTCTACACTCCCCCAGGAGCGATATTTTGGATCCTCTCACAATATAGGTGCTACTGGGTTGAATATTCTCAGGCCACAAGTTCCACCCTTTGCCCTATCCTCAGCTGAAACGTGAAGGTATGTATATCCACACAATGTTCTTTTTCCTCTATATTAAGTTAAAGATTCACGGGAGTTGAGGCTCAGATGTACAGACAAAGGGCTTAAGGGCTTGCGAGCACCTCTTTCAAACTCAAGACCGGAAGCGGCCAACCCCGCGCTGAAAAGAGTCGAGTTTACACAACAACAGCCCTTGACCAATGTTTAAATTGAATTTTCGCCTGCTTTTGGACGCTCTGGTATCTCAATATCAATGGATCAGGCTGAGAACAGACCCATAAACCCAAATCCAAGCCACGATGATTCTAGATGCTTTTGATAAACCCGCATAAGATTCATGCATTGACGGCACGCGATGAGGAAATAGTTTATCACTTTTCAGCAACCAGATGAGAATAGTGCAGGTCTAAACTCAACTATGTCTAGAGTTCCGCGGCGTGAGGACGATCATTTTGATTCAGGTGGTGGACCCCGCGCGATCCTTGTGGCCTTAATTTCTTTTTGATGGTTTTGACTTCGACGCCTGCGATGCAGCTCAAGCGAAATGTGGGGGACCGTTTCCTCTCAAAGTCCACTGTACAGCATGCAAATCCGCCCCTAATGAACGGAAGATGTTTTCAATTGATCTCCGAATTTTGAGATGTATATCGGACTCAATACCCCGAGGAATCAACACAATCATTATCTCTGAGTATCATGTCTCAATTGATCCGACAGTTTACTTATCCAAGCTCCGCTGGCCCGTTCGTCGCGGCTGGTATCAGTAGGTAGAGTATGTACCTGCGGGTATTTATTGAACCGGGATTATGTTAAGATGAGGCGCAATTTATTTCGCGAAGGATTCACCAAATCCGACTACCAGGAGAGATGGCTTTTTCTTGCCCGTCTTGTCGGAGATGCAGGGAAGAATAGCATTTTCTATCAACAGCATATTCGTTTACCTTTTGGGATATATGCACATGTTTATAAACCAGGATACTAGAAAAACAAAAGAAAGGTGCCTCATTGAAAACCGGGAAGAACTTTTTAACTGAGCGACTTTCTGCTCCAATTAATCCGGATGAAACAATCCCTCTCTTCCCGTCTTTGCATTTTTACGTACCTGCATGCAGTGCATCAATGGTTTCGACCTCTCACGTACAGCTGATCTTAGCGAATGCACTTAAGTGTTCTTTCGCGTGGAATCCCGAATATTTGGACGACTCAATCCAACTGACGGCATAACGACTAGTTCCAATATGGTCACTCGAGCCTACTCAACGGATATCATTGGCGGAAACCTTCAATTCCTCTTTGGAAAAAACAATATAACCGTCCAGTGGAAATTTGGTTTTATGTACGAATGACTTCTGGTTGTTTCTTTTCCAGAATTCTGAACCCCAATACTTGCATATACATACCTTCCTGGCCCTTGTCGAACACGGAACAACGGATTAATCCATGAGAGAGAGAGAAGGAGAAACTATTATTCGGTCACGATTATAGGAAATGTCCGGACAGCCGAAATTTTCTTCAAGCCACGGCGGCGAGGAGTGATATAGATGGATTTTCGGGTTAGACAAGCAGTACATACTCGACATCAACCCCCCTCTTTACCCCCCTCGTACTCGCTAATTCTCAATGGTTGTATTTGCAATGTGAATTAGATCTGGAAACGCTTATAGGAATCTACCGAGCGAAGGCTGATCAAAATTTCCCAACGTTCAGCGAGGGCGATCATAATTTTTCGCACTGTGCCCTGGTGGTACATGCGTTCACCGATATGTTGTAGGTACACGACATAAGCACGTAAGGTAGGCACGCCTTTCCTCGTCCATATCCATTGCTTATTTCAACGGCTGGATGCGGGCTCAATTCGATGTCGCCGCAAGGTTTTCGATGTAGCCATCAAAATGCGTCTACTTAAAAGGACATAGACACCTACCAGTTATAAATATAACTGTCTGCAGAATGCACGTGTTTCAAAACAAGATATCTACATAAGGGGTCAAATTGACAGTATTCCGGCAATGCAGTTTCCTAGAGTGGATAATGTTTTTTCCGGCGCATGTGGTTTAAAGTGTGATAGATGATAAGGCAGGAATAAAGCATGTTGAGCATGGGCGGCTGGAAAGTAATTTATGTCTATGGGTATGTACAGTACTGTACCGTGATAGTGCATACATATCCTCCCAGCAGATAAGCATGTAAAACCTGACGACGTGTTTGCAAAGAACTTCGAGTTTCTTCTGTACATACATTGAATGTTTCTGCTAACCACTATCTAGCTCGCCATTTCAAAAACAATGCATGCGTTGGCCGAGAAAACATGCCCTATGCCTGCTCAGAAGCTGAAATTTTACCTCATCCCAATGCAAGCTCAAGCCACTGTTGTTTGAATCGCAGCCACTAAGGTATAGTTACAGATGCCGGTACTTATCAGTCTGGTTCCTGACAATTTATCACTCAGCCGGGCCCGCATACCTGGGCTGGGTCTCGATGGTCTGGATTACTACTCCGTAGCTATAGATCTACCTACTATAGCTGTGGGTAGGCACTCGTACCTAGGTGCTTTGGGCGGGGGCTGATCTATGCAGTGGTCTGGATGATGAAAGATTAGATTATCTATCAATCATCAAGATCAATTAACTGTACTATGCGTGACATTACACAACATACGCCTCTCTGTATAACATCTGTTAGTTTAACGCTGTCACAGCCTCCAATACAGTAACCCATTGGATGGAAAACAGAATCCGAATGTGCGCCCTAAAAGCACAATCGTAGTATAGCTCGATGATCATAATTATTAGGAAAAAACTGCGGGCTACGAGCGGGGTACATAGAAAGAGTGGTGATTTTTTGTAGTGATCGTGACAATTAAAGGCAACATCTGCGTCAACCAATTGCTTTTATTTTGGAGACTAACTACTCTAACCTCCATCCCTGGTGCACGATGATTACTGAGTTTTACGAACAACGGTGATTTCGAGTATGTACCGAGTGACAAAAGAAAAGAAAAGAAAAAGCCAATACGTCAGTCAAGAACAATTGCTTTTGAGGACAGATATCGATTGAGCAATTGCGAGTAGCTAGAGTGCCTTGTACCTATTCTAGCTGGAGTGGGTAGCCCTAACCTAGAAAGTGAATGATGGGATTCGGCCATTCCCGAGTAACCATTGCAATTGGGTAATCTACGACGTATTTTTTTTCGAAAACACATGTTCCTTTTTCCTCATTAACGTCGAACATCATAGAATTTGCTTTTTTCTGGTCGCATTCAGGATACATACCCGAAAGCTCACCTCTTCTCAGCACCTGGTACGTACCTCCTCTTCCACGGAAAAATAACACACCGTTTCAACGGTCACACACATCAAACTTCCTCCCTTCTCCAGATCGTACCTGGCCTAGAGGAGGAGGAGAAGGAGGTGGACCGGTGGTTGAGTGGTAGAGGTGGGGGGACCCTTAACATTTTCCCCACAAAAACAAAAGACGCCACGCCAGTCACGGTTGCAGACTTGCAGTTGCTACAACTTACGAATCCACGTGATATCACCGCCGCGACCTAGTGCCCCACGCGAACGAGTGAGCGGCCGATGAGGACACTGACTTTCACGATGCTGTGAGGTTTCTTTGTATGTAATTTCAAATTTCCCCCTGTGACCTGAGCTATAGAGAAAAAAGAAATGTTTCAAGACTTTCGCTTCGAAGCTTCAATTACCCCCCCCCCACACTCGGCCACTCGAAACTCTGGTGGACGGACGCAGGTGGATCTCAACAGCGGGTTTTCATCGAGTTAAGCTTCCCCTGATTAAATTGCATTGCTTATAGCTTCTTTTTTCCTACCCCACGATCAATCAATTGGATCATACGACTCTTCTAATATGCTACTATAGGGCAAGATCTGGAAATCCTTATTTGAGTTTTCCCCAGGCCTAACCTTTCTGGACTCGTTGAACGATCGCGACCCGCCATTGTCGTGGGGAACGAAACCACGGGGTACCCCGTGATGGATATCGGCTATCGTCGTCGATATTCGGCCGATAATTGCTTGTTTTTTTTTTTAGATCCATACACCTAGCCTCCTGGAGTCCTGGTCACGAAGAGACTTCTTCCTAAGAGAGCGGGCTCCGGCACTTCTTGATACCGGAGCCCTAACTACCGGCTAGTACTCTACATACACAGTCATCTGGGGCGGCCTCTAGAGAAGATATTCTTAGAAGTTAGGACTACCAAAAGCCACTACCATCATCTACTCTAGCTATTAGGGTTTTTACTCAAAGTCTAGATTATCGATCAACACTATCACCATCAGATGGGCAAATCATAGGCCCCTTTTTTCCGAGAAATTCCGTTCTTTAGCGATATAAAGAGAGCAGGCTACTCCACCGCGGCCGCTTATGAATGATTTGAAAACGGTGCCCTTGTGGCGGGTAGATATAGATTTCTAGATACGAGAGGTGGTACTTGCGTTGTAAGGCTGAAGTCGCATGAGAAGAAGCTGTAAGACGTTGCCATGTGTGTACCACTACGCAACGCTACTTACTAAGTAGGCCAAAGTGGTTCCGGCCGAGCGCCAACCAACTAGCACGAGCAGTTTTTTTTCTCCCCTTCCCCACCACCACCACCGCCGCCGCATTTCGGAAATTGGCGTTTCAACGGGACAGGAGAGCCTCAATAGGCAGTGAAGAAGCAGAAGAGCAGGGGTCATAAAGGAAGCGGTTCCCGGGTGATGAAAGAATGATGATTGTTTACGAATACACACCTCACAGTTACATACCAGCTTCCTCAAATGCAGAGGTAGGTTCCGTTTCTCACGAACTCTTTCTTCTCTGGCATCTGCTCTGCGCGTTGACCCTGGCACCATCACAGTATCCCAGGGTCTTAACTACATGTAGTTGGGGCACGGGAGTTTAGCCTCCCTTTCCCTTTCCCTTCCTTCTCTCCCTTCCCTGACCCTGGTTCCTGGATTAGCTCTTTTCAGCCGCTTCCGGAACCGGAGAAGGGGAGTTAGGAGTGAGGATGAGTATGGATGGAGTTAGAAGGCAACTTTCTGTCTCGAGGGAGGGCACCTCGGAAGACGGACGTCGTCGGGGAGATGGTGCTGTTGTGTTGGTTGTTTCTGTGCTGCGCTCTTTTTTTGTTTCAATTGTTGTCATGCTGCTTGCCAGTGCTGGGCGCACACAAAGAAAAATGCCTAACCTACAATGTACCTACACATTGCATTGTTTGCTTGCTGCCTGCTTGCTGCTTGCTTGACCGACTGCAGGCTACGTAGGCGTGCATTCGGTTTCGTTCGTACATACATGTACTTAGCTAGGTGGTATGTACAGCCTTACGAGCTGCGCGCTGCTGGGTGCCGATGTTGGGGACTATCACCCGGCCGCATGTATGTACTCCTAGAGTACTCTAGAGTAGGCACTCTATGTACATGTATGTACTCTGGAGGTACCAGCGTGTTCATCTAATTGATAGAGTGGAGATTAAGCTACATAGAGTACCTATGTAGAGTACAATACATGTACTATGCTTCTACATACCCTCCACACGTGGTCGATAATTGAGATAAACTGTAACTGGAAGGGTAAACTATAACTCGAGAGGTGTTTAGAGTTAGAGTTAGCATTCATGGCGGTGCAACGGTGGTACGGTCTGGAGTAGAGTACTTGTGGTAGCATCGACGACCTGGACATCCCACATGCTTGCTTGATGGGATGACCGAAATCCTTCTTAATTGCTGGTGATACACAATAGCTAAATGACTACTGGCACTACTAGCTACAGTACTGTAGTAAACTTACTGCTACTACCTCGACTTTCTACGTGACTACCACTACTGATCTGCTCTAGAGTAGCTATGCAGATAGCTTATGTATGTAGCTGTACCAACTCTATATTTATCTTTTTGGCGTCGACTATCATACACACTTTGGTTATCTTCATCTGTCCGTTCTGTCATCCTAGGTAGACAGATTAGACAGGTCAAGCAGCACTAGGACGATCCGACCAATGTGCAGAGTCTGGTAGAATTATTGCGAAAGTGGGTTTTCCCGTGACCCGATAGTCCTATTGGCCCTTAAAGGAATTTCTGCAGTGAGCACGGACCAAGAAGCCCACTCTTTTAGTTCTGACTTTCGCAATAATTCTACCAGACTCTGTATATTCAGCGGCGGGGAAAGAATTGGGTTTGCCTTTCTTTTCTATACCTACTCGCAGAGAAAAATTTCTCGGGTTTCATGAATCACTCACTCGACTCACTCACGAGGTGCAATTAAATAACAGTAACCATCGTTCGTTTCTTGCACACTCTCTCTCCACCCCACCCCACAAACGAGCCTCAAAACTTGTTTTGTTTTTTGTTTATGCTGCAAGAGAAGACTAACTACATCAAATCGCATCCTCAATGTGCTTCTAGATTATGTAGAGTAGCTACTTTGGAATTTCTGTATGTAGATAGGTACGTTTGCTTCCTTCCCGACGTAGAGTAGACAGAGCATGTATGTATGTCGAAGAAAGAACAAAGTGCCGGTGGAGGAGGAGAGAGAGAGGTAGGACACACAGACCCACGCACGTCCCAGCGCCGCGTCCCCCGACCTTCTTTGTACGCTGCTGCAGCGCATGCTTCTTTACGCTGCGCTACTCTACGTACAGGCAGGCAGACAACAGCCATCCGAGGAGTGGTGGATGGATGGCCATGGATGGTGGAGGAGAACAGAACCACGTTTTGTGTCTAGCTGGAGCTATGGGGGGGCCATGTTGTAACTGCTGTTTAGAGGAACTGTGAGGTGAAAGTACGTGAGGTGAAGTGAAATGAATGAGTGCATAGCATAGCATAGCATAAGCATAGGCATAGGTAGGCATAATCTCCAAACCACCACCACCACCGTATTTCTCAGACAGAAGCTTGCTTTCCTTGCGAGTCGAAGTCAACAGAATCGCCATAGCAGAACATGGAGCAATCCTATCCATCCGTTCCCGTGACGTGCTCACCCCCAGTAAGGAAGGGAGAGAAAAAAAACACCACTGATGTTTTTCTGTTCCACTCCAGATCTGAGGTGCAGCGCAGAGCGCAGTGCGGTGCGGAGGTGCTGTGCAAACTTACTCAGTCAGTCACTCACTCACTCACGACTCACTGTCCTCCTCCCACCCTACCTAGATGATGGTAATTTGCGCTTCTACATGAAATAAAATAATAAACGTGAACTCTTCTCTCATTAACACTGTGCCTATCACAATCACCACCAACCCACTGCTTTGGGTCATTACCCTCCGAGCAAGCAAGCAGCCCATCATCCATCCCTCCAGCCATCCATCCAGCCCGCATTATTCTTCTGCTGATTCTTCTGCTTCTTCCTGATCTCTAACTACTAGCTTTCTCGCCCCCCCCCCCCCCCTCTCCCCTTCCTTCCCGTTCAGCCATAAAATAGGGTTTTTTTTAAGAAAAAAAAAAGATATCCCCCACGCACCCCGGCACCACCACCACACACCTGACTGGGAATTAAAATACAATACATATACATTCACGCCCGCCCCCACCGCTAAAGAGAGAGTGAAAATCAACTCATCGGTCAAAAGTCCAGTCAAGTCCAGTCCAGTCCGTAGTGGACACCTTAACAAACCTAAGGCAAACTCCACTTCCTCACTGACCAAGTGGTACTTACTTGACTATCTACTATACATACTCAAAACCACTCCCTCCCTCATCCCTATCCTATCGCAAACCCGGAAAGAGTTCCGGCCCCGGATTCTCGTCTATCTATATTATCCACTCTACAATCAAGAAAGGGAAAAAAAAAACTCAAATTCGGGTTTTGGTTGGTCCATCTACGCGACAGACAGAGACGGGTCTAAAACGTTCAAGCCGCAGTAAATAGAGTGGGAAGTACTTAACTTAGCCCACCACCACCCCCCCCCCCCCAAACCTTGATTGTGCCACGCAAGTCTGCAGCAAAAGCAAGCAAAGCAACGAAAATCCACCACCACTACTACTACTACATTACTACTACTACCTACTACTACTTACTGCCTACCGCTGCTTCTGCTTCTGCTTCTGCTTCTGCTGCTAGATATCCACAGCTACTACCACCATCACTACTTAGGAAGTGGAAAAAAGGAAATAAGAAGAAGCAAGAAAGAAGGCAGACCCACCACCGCCGTCATTCCCCTCTCCGCTGTCCATATCCCTCCGAGGCATAAATCACTTCGGGCCCGCTCTGTAGTTTTCCAATTGAGCAACAGTCAGCCATCCATAGCAAACCAAACCCTCAGTATAATTCAGCTTTCCATAGAAAAGGCCAACAAGCATCGATAGCGGAGCAAACTCGACCTAAAAATAAAAATATATACCAACAACAATCAATCAATGGCATACTACAACCCCATCATATCACCCCGCCGTCTCGCCGACCGGCGTGGGATACCGCAGCTGCAGCCTCTCGAGCCCGCCTATGAAGCCATGCTTCTGCACAAGCAAAAGTCGCCGCCCAGCACTGTCATGATCGCCGAGATCAGGCAGCACTACTCACCACTAGACTCAACGCACACGGAGGTGCTCCCGTTCCGGTCTGTGGAGACCTTGAAAGAGGAGGACGAGGAAGACGAGCAGGATGAAGTGGAGCAACACAAACAGCACGAGGACGAGGGATGTGACTGCGATCACGACGAGAACGATGGGCTGGAGGTTGTGTTTGGGTTGGGCGTGAGTGTCAATGGTGGTGACGATGCGGAGGTGGAGGGCATCAGCAGGCAAACGTCGGCTATGCGTCTGACTAAGAAGTTGCACGTTGCGACTGGCGGCGGCGGAGACAGTTATAACTATGAGTACCATCAGTCCCGCTATCACTCTGGCAGTCATCACCACAATGGACAGACACCAATGCCTCTCACGCCTCCATCTAATGGTTTGTTTGCCCCAGAAAAATCTTGTTTTATTTTCTTTGTTTGACCAATTTTGCTTGTTTGTGCAACCAACTAACGAACGAGTGCTCACAGATGACGAAAGACCGTATCCCGGGTCAGACGACCTTATAATCGACCCGGACTGCTTCACTTCCTCTCCTACATCAGCGCCTCAATCCCCCGCCAGTGAGGCCTCCCGTTCCCGCGCAGCAACAATCCTCAACAAGGTCGTCCCGTATAAACTGCGCGCCTCATTCAAGCGCCGCCTCTCCGGCCCCAACACCAGTGCCCCCCCTGTGCCAGCACTCTCGACGCTACCCAATTACTACGCTGGCACACCCCCACCAGACGAGCACGACACCTTTGACGACTTCTTCCGCCCATCTGCAAACTCACCGGCCTCCCAACACCCCCCAGTCGCCACCAGCATAACCAGCTATCCCGCCTCCCCCGTCTACTCACCGCTTACAGTAGCGACAGACGTCTTCCCCGAGATGTACGACAGTCACTTCCCCTCCTCCGAGCTCGTCTCTTCGCCCCTCCACCCCCCCACAATCTCACCCCTCATGTCCCCCACTGCCGCTTCCGCATCCCAGACCTCACTCCATCTCGTCACTTCCCACCCAACCCACACCCACAAAAAGGTCCCCAGCATTGATCCAGCCACTCCACTAGCCCCCCGCCGTCCTTCTGCACCTGTCACGGCTGTCACGGCAGACTCACTCGCAGACATGATTGAGGAGATGAATGCCGACCTTGCCGCGTACGACACTGCCTACTCATGCATGATCGCGAGCGGGTGGAGCAGCCCACAGGAGCTGCGCAATGTCGAGCTACAGAGAAAGGACAAGGAGGCGGAATGGCGGGTGAGGATCGCAGAGTCAAAGAAGGTGCTGGAGTATGCCAGACGGGTAGAGGTCATGGGACTTGCGGGCCTGGAGAGACTCGAGTCCAATGCCTCAGGCGCCTCGGGAGTTAGTGCTGGGAGTGCAGGCGGCGAGAGCATGGGCATGCAGACACTCATTCCGGTAACGGTGTTGCCAGTGGGCGCGAGCGAGACAGGGAGCTTGAGGAGTTTGAGGGGCTCAGAGAGGACTATGTCCAGATGAGCTTCTGTTTTATTTTGGATATTTGTACAGGTTTTTTTCTTATGTTTTGGTTTTCCTTCTGGTCCAGATAATGTTTATGACATGACTGACACGACATTCCTTACGAATCTTGTTTGAGTTTTCTCTTTGTTTTTTTTCCTTGTTTGCCTGGAAACGATTTTCCTATCACTATTGGGGGCTTTTCTCTCTATCTATGGGCGCACTATAATGTTTAAGGTGGTGTTTTGTTTTATCTTTATCTTTACTGTTTGTATAAACTTGGAGCTACTTACTAGAAACGGGCAAAAAAGGTGGTTTTTTTATTTTTTTATCTATTTACGAATTTTTTTTTTATCTTATTACAAAACTGCTCATACTACTACTACTTTACAGAGGAAACGGAAATGGAAAATGGAAATATTGGCTGGTTGATTGAATTGGAAATCATTGGCGGCGATCTTTGAAGAAAAAAATGCATCTTGTTCTTATTGTTTTAGTTTTATCGATTACGGCGGGCGAATGGTCTTTCTCTTGTATTCTATTCAAGCGCTTACTACTGAGCTGAAAGAGAGAGATTGTTTTAGGAAGAGGTTTCTTTTTTTGGCTTTTATTACATATACCTCGTTCTTTATTGAGCTCTTTTGGCTTTTTATGGGGGTCTCTCTTTTACCCCGCTGCTAGATACAGTAGCCTTACTTCCCCCATTTGTTCTCTATAGAGAAATAGGAATCGCAAAATAAATATATAAAAAAGAAAAATCAATATTGAAAATTCATTATTATCGGTACCTGAAATGCCCAAAGCAAAAAGAAAGCAAAAGCAAAAAGAAAGCCTCTTCCCCAACGGACGGCAAAGAGAGAGAGGGGGTGATATTTTCTCGCGCATCATACCTACATGGCACACACCCACTTCCTAGAATGTAACGCCGAGGTTTATAAATATCCCTCTTTCTGGTCTGCCTGGTGCTGCCCTTCTTCGTGGCCAAGTGTTTTGAAACGTTGAAACCTGGGGAATGACTATTTCGTCGGCCTTGCCTTGTAAAAGTCAAGTCACGTCCCAAACTTGTTCCCCATTCCTATCGTCCTATCCCATCCCCGTCTAGCACCTCCTTCCACAATATTCCAGAAGAACGGCAAGCCAGTACGGAAGCGTCACACGCCTTTTCCCATCCAGTTAGGTGGCCATTTCTGCGCGCAGCGGGGGGGAAACGTCGGGATTGCCCCGGTGATGAAACACGGGATTCCCTACAAAAGTGCAGATTTTATGTAGAGTGTAGCTGTAGTTAGCTACATGTAGTTGAAAACCGTCCGAAAATGTAATAGTGTTTTTGGTAGGTTAGATTAGGTTTGCGCTGAGGCACTCTGCGCCAGACGAGTGCCAGTAAACTTCTCAACCGTCCTAGGGGAGGGGGTTTGTCGTGCCTATAGAGCCACTTTGATTCGCGGGGTTTTCCTTTATGACGTCAGCGGTAGACCGCCAATCGTTATCAACGAACGACAACAAACCAGGGGTAGCGAAGGGGTTAGAGCACATACATACTTTTCGATAGGGAATAGGTAAAGTTTGTAGCAAGAGGTCCACAGGCAGGGGACTCGGCGTGCATCTCTGAATGGCTTCACGGCCCCGTCGGTATGTATCCCGATGTAACTCCACAGGGCCGGCCGGTCCGGGTTAAACCCTATTACCGGTACCGTGGCAAGGTGACTGCTCCTGTCGACATTTTTCTCTGTGGTTAGATTGGGCCTGGAGACCAGGGTGCTGAGGTCAATGATCAAAGCAGGGACTAACCGGGTGAGGGAGATGTGTGATGGATTCAGTTAGTTTGAGGCTGATCGGATATTTCTGTCTCAGTCGGACAAACAAAAATGCTTGACCAAGTGTTTGCAGCCAAGCCTGCACGTGAGTGTTAATAATGACTAACCCTAAACAGCTCGGTTCATAGAATATGATTCGACTCGAGGGGGTAGAAAGGGATCGGTCAGATTTTCTCAAGTAGAACATTGTCTCGGGTGTAAAAAGACCTCCTCATCTGGAACATATTGACCTTCATCTTAGCCATCCACATGCCCATGATCTCTAAGTGCTCAAGTGAGACTCCCATGGCTCTGGTAAATACCTGGATCACTCGCCCTATTGTCTGTCATCTCTGTAAGGGAGTGGTCACGGCTAACTGATGGATGCATGTGTCGTATAATCGAAATTAGCAAATCATGTTATTTCTCAACTGAATATATCGATCACGAAACATCACTCGTCCCCAGGCCACCTGCAACGTGGCGGCTGTATTTGTTTAATCGGTTAATGTCCAGAAGGTAGGTTACATGCAGTTTGGCTTGTGTTATCCCAGGTGGGCATCGGGTGTCTTGCGGTGCAGATAATGTGCCAATAGAGTCTATGGGTTTAACACTTAGGGCGGAGCATATATGATTGCTTTGTACGCTGTTAACTCATTGATTTTATGATATATGATTGTTCGGGGCCTGTTACCTTTCGAAAACGATTAATCTATTGATTGAAGATGAGTGGGACTAGAGGACTTATAATGAACTAATGTATCATGACCTACGGCGCCAATTACATACAGTTGGCCATAGACATCTTCCCCCAAGGACGAAGATAAGCAGGATAAAGGCCTCGGTTGATCAAGATGTCGTAATATTCAGCATGTATACCCCCTCCCGACTAGTTAGGCTGTCACTCTGTCGAGGTCTCGAGTTTTGGCTTAGAGAAGTGCTATCACCTGAGGCACAGCATCTAGTGTTAATAATAAGGATAATAATCATAATGATGATGATGATGATGATGATGATGGTGATGGTGATTACGGTTGTGACAACCTGACACAGAATAAAGGGTATACATACTAGTGTCCTGTGGTTTTAGAGGCGAGCCGAGGATATCACTGTGTTGGGATGAAACAGAAATTTGTATATATAGCGTTATATATATATAAAAAAAAAAAATTGTGAGTAATTTGGGGTGTGGGGTATAGTTAATATTGTAGCTATACTTAGGTGAAGATTGCGATTGGACGGCATTTCCAAATTATTAACTTGCATATATTTGCTACGAACGAATTGCGTCTGGGAATCTCCTGAAGGTTTTTAACTTCTTCGGTCCTACAGTTTCTCGTATGATAGGTTACGTTATACACACAGGTAAAGGGTTCAAAGTAAATAAACATTGAGGCCGGGCGGGAGAAATTCTAGGCCTTAACTTTTACATTATGTACTATAAATATATGTACTAAATGAACACTGGGACCGCTCGTTAACGGTAGGCATATGACAAGAATATGAAAGTACATGTAGATACAACCCTGTTTTAATTCGGTGCTACGCTAGCAACCGCTGTAATTTCACTTGTATCTAACATAATCATAAACATAACCTATTAACCTTCTCAACTTATAGTAGATCTTGCAGATAATAGCACACCATTGTTTCTATTGCGAAATTATTGCTGAGCTGAATCTCATCACACTGAAATAAAATTTAATACATGCGGTGCAAATGCTTCGGGATAAGTCTGAACCTTCCGCCGGAAAACCGTTAAACTCCGAGTAAAGTGAACCACATGAACATGGGGGGAGGGGAAAAAAGGGAGATGAAAAATTCCAAATTAGCAAGAAAAGGAGAAAACAAGGCCCTCCCCAACATAAATAAAAGATCCCTAAAATGCGTTTAAAAAGCGACAATAATAACCGAAAGAAATTTAAGAATGTTGATAGGAAGAAAAGACGCGAAGACAGTATCAACGCCAATAACCGTCCTTGCCGGAAAATCCAGTGGCAAAATATTCCTCATGAAATCGTGATGTCGTGTGAAAGTCTTATTGAGCCCTCTCAATTGCAGTTGGCCGCCTTGTACCGAAACCGTAAGTATCCCGTCCTCCCTTATACCCTTGCCTAAAAAAGCCCTCCAGAATATAAATAAAACAACTTTTTCCAACCTGACTTGCGTCTAATCGTTTGCATAAAAAAAAAGGCCCACAAAAAAAACGGGCGTTCACCATCCACACGTCAAGGTGCAGATCAACACACAGTCAGCGCTGTTAGGGCCGACTTCCAGCTGAAATCTCTGGTCCAGTTTCCAATTTTGGAGAAGAAATGGGGAAATCGCCAATACCCCCAAAGAAGGAAATGCCTTGGAAATAAAATAAAATTAAAAAAAAAAAAAAAAAAGAACGCCGCCACAAACAAAAATCACCACTACCGAGATCTAGTCCGAACCCTCTTCGGATATGGCCGAGGTCGCGCAAGTTCCTAAACCAAGGCTCCCTGTAGCCGGTGGAATCTCATCCCTCATACAAGCATTCTCCAGGACATTTGTCCATTTCCCGCTTGTTCCACTGTGACTATGCTTCAAGTGTTGTCTAAAGTGGTCGGCACGATAGAATTTCTTAGATTGATTGCACTCTCCAAACTTGTGCTCCGTCGTCAAATGTTCAACTCGGGCATCCCATTGTGGGGGCGATGGGAATTCTTTTCCACAGTAACCACAAATTTCTGCATTCGGTCTTTGTGGTGACTGGTGAAAGGCAGCTTCATAGCCGCAAAGCGCTGCACAGGACCAAGAGTGTTTCCTCAAATGAAGAGAATTTTGATGTCGCTCTGCCTCATTTTTGTTTTTAAAGCGATTGCTGCAGTATTGACAGCTATACTGCTTCTCTGTTTCGTGCAACCTACATTTATTCGGTCAGCTTGTGCGAGTAAACACCATTTAGTAAGTGAACTTACTGCAGATCCTCGTATGTCTCGAATTTTTTAGGCTTCTTGGGACAACATTCGCAGATGAACGCGCCAGCCATTTTAGGTGCCGAGAGATGTTTCACAGCAACAGTATCCTTCTCAGCCCCTGTAGCCGTAATTGTTGTTTCAGATCCAGTGCGCTGCCTATTATTTGGTCTATTTGCAGCTAGTGTTATCTGAGATTGACGGAATGGTGCGTCTATAATCTCCATGTCAATCGAGGGTGTATAAGAGGTGGCTGGTGTTCCCCTGTCTACAGTAGTAATACTGCTGGCTAATGAAGATAGACCGACTGATGAGGACCACGTTAGAGAAGATGCAGCTGCGGAAGCAAAAGATCCGGATGCAGATCTAGGAACTTGCGAACTAAAAATCCCAGAAGACGCACGACACTTAGAAGGTCCACCAGGGGAATTTCGTGCTCCACCTTGATGTATGGGTGATGTTCTTCGACTACGATCGTAGATTTCACTCCCAACACTTTCCAATAGGACCCCTTTCCTTGTCGGCTCCGAATTCATGGTATCTTCATTCGGGGGAGATGAAGCTCTTCGCTTTGAGCCAACTCGCTGGTGATTAACTTGGCTGGGGTATGAGTTAGACTTTGGAGGTGTGCGTGCATCTTGGATCGTAAGCCGCTTCATTTGATACACATGATGATATGGCGCCTCATCCATTTGGTAATCACTATCTTCGTATGGGTCGCAGCTATTTCTAGACTGCATCGAACTAGCAATACCTGAATCATCAAAACCTTGTCCCAATAGTGATGCACTCATTGACCGACGCATTCGAGCATCTCCATTAGAATGTGCATCATTATCTGTGACATACGATGAAACGCTTGCATTATCCCCGGAATTACGGATTTCAGTAAACGCCGGTGAAAAAGACGGCTGCCCTGGTACCGGTTCTGCCAGTCCCAATGGTGGTGGGATGCCATCTGCTTGAGCCCATCTTTCAATTGGAGTTTGAGATCCCGGACTAGGTATTGGTATTGGGTTCGAGGTTCGGCTCTTAATAAATTCTTTGGATGAACGCCAGAGACCTAGAGGGGATGGCGGAAACTCTTCGGGGGTGGGGGTAGTATATGATAAAGGTCGATAGTTTTGTGGCTGAGTAAAGTAATTTCGATTTGAAGGTTCTGATTTAGCTCCCCCATTGAGCTTTGCGACAAGGCCCATGTCGTAGGCTTTGACCGATTTCTCCATAGCCCCACGTACGGAAGCGTCACCCTGCAATCTGCTACTGAATTCACAAGATTGCAAAAGTTAATAATTGTTCCTCTTTATGCAGTTAAACATCGAAACGACAAACGCAGTGACAAGCAGGTTATAACGATGGGTATAGAATCGAGTGGGGGAATGTGCGAGATATTATTATCGGAGTATATCAATGCATATATTAAATAAATGCTACAAGAAGTATTGATACTGGCAATATGGGTACTCAACTCCTTGGTATTCTTTAAAGGTTTCCTGGGAAAGTCACTGCTCCAATATTTCGGGAAAGGGTTTTCATTCCTGGTTCTGGTGTCTTCAAGGCTACTGGGGGGGTCATACTGTGGTTCTCCATTTTTTCGAGATACTCTCGAAGGCCAATCATTAGAGGACAGTCGATTTCCTCGACCATCCCGGTCCCTCGTCTCCTCTCTTCTTCGCCGTCGCGCGATTTCTTTTCCTTCACTATCATCACAATCCTCAGCCATTGAGTCATCGTCATGATGGTGATATCGATGAGATGGCAGTGAAGGAGGGTCTAAAGACAATATTGGCGGTGGATTAAGTGAAGGCACTGGTGGGACGTGAGAGCTCTGTGAAGCAAAAGATACCCCCCGGCTAGAGGTGGGGGAGCTCTTGGATAGAGGTATTGGAAGAGGCATAGATCTTTGAGCGATGCGTTGTGGTGAGGATGGGAAGTCGTTGCCTGTATCCATGGCGTGATTGCCGTCAGGGCTACGGATGGCTGGAAGGCTGAAGTTGTTGTTTAATCGAGGGAAACCCATGAAGAAGAGCTGGGGGGGGAGGGATACAAGATCGGGCGACGGGTATCTAGTGCTGTGCCTTAATAATAACAATGATCAGATTCATGGGATGATCTTGAAGCAAGATTACCGGGTCCAATTGAATACCTTTAACGATAGCTATGCGACTAGTGCGTGGTGGTGGGAGGGGGTTGGAAACAAGGATTTCTCCGAGAGGATGGTTTCCTTAACTAACACTCGATATATTTGGGTCGTGATCTCTCGTCTAATCAGAGGTTACGGGTCAGCTATTCAACAACACCAGCTGAAGGAGCTGAAACGTTGGCGGCGGATTTTACCAACTAGGAAATAAAATACCCGAGCAAGTACAAAGGTTGCTATTTCATCTCAAAACCCCAATTATTTTTTTCGCCACCTCTACTTGTGCTCGTCGCCTCCTTATCGTTGTGTTCGCTCTCCCTGCAGATAAATTCACCTCGTGGTTGTCGTTCTGCCTCTATTTTTCTACCTTTGTAACTTTCCCCCTCTCTTTCTCTCTCTGTGTTTCTTTCTTTCGGGATGGTTTCACACCAGCCGCAACTCGATCGCCCGCCGCTGGATCTTGAAGACCCTTCCTGCTAAATTGAATATGATCCCAACCGGGTCTTGCAACATACAGCCACAGAAAGATTCCCTCAAAAACAGCAACTAATTGACGTTGGTTATAGAGCCGTTTTGGACGAATAGCTCAAGTGATCGTGATGGTGAAGAATAAAAATGAGTCGAAGAAGTGTGGTGGTTGTGGTGAATGGGTAGGGCGAAGTCTAGCTGCACAAGACGGTAGCTACGTAGATGGGATAACTATGTGAACGGTGCCAAAAGAAGGACGTTGTAAGGCGAGAGAAAAATCGAAGGATAAATGGAAGCCGACTAGTAGGTATGTATGACGGACCAAGCAGAGGCGGAGACGTGGGGAAGAGGGGGGTGGAACAAAAAAACCGACCTTATGTATGTACGAGGATAGAGGTAGGTATATGTATGTACGTGCTGGGTATGTGAGTGCGCCTGTAAGTTATTGAGGGACGCTGTGGTTAGTATGGATATAGCAAATAACAGCTAGATCATATATCCAGGGTGCAAGGGGGAGAGGAGACTTCTTCCCTACCCCGTCGGGAGCAGTGAGCAGAGAAGCAGCAGCGATGCAGATTCAGCCTCACAGGGAAACGATGTGAACGCCCTTTCTCTACATTGGGGCGTCCTAGCCTTGCTTTCATGCTACGTAGAGTACTTATTGACCTGACCATACTGGCAGGGCGTTGGTTGACCGTTTCCTTACCAGTGAGTACCTAGTGCTCACTTCACTCCACTAGAGCACTACTCTACCTCACCACCATCACCTACATCCACAACCCCACAACCATAATCGCCGACTTCTCCACTAATACTGCTAACTTATCACTTTTCGTCACAAATGTCTCCGAATCGTGTTCTGCTGGTCTCAAAGCAGCGGCACATAAAACCAGCCCTACCTAGAACCCGCTGCTAAAAATCGACACCGGATTGACAGGGTCGAGAATTACGATTTGAATCATGCTCACACTGTCCGTGCTCGGCCAAGGGAATCTACCATCGGTAGCTAGGGCGAACGCGGTTCCATGAAAGCCTGGCCCCGGGTTCACTCATCCGCCACCGCTGACAGCACTCTCTGGCACTCGTTACAGATAATATTTACAGGGAACATTCAAAGGCAGAGAGTGGGCGAAAAAGAAGGGGGGAAAGGAAAGTTGAAAGGGGGAGTAGAGAAACGGAAAAGAAAAAAAAAACCGAAGGAATGGAGTCAATGAGGTAAGGACATCGATCTAGCTGTGGGATTGGCCCATTTCCCTCGATCCACCAGCTTGGATTGCACTCGTGGGTTGCGAGGGACCACACTCACCACTACATGATGATGACCTCTAAACTCACTATTAGACGAATATAATGGCTTTCACGGCTAATCTGATCCTCTGTGTACCTACTCCATCCTTGTAAAAGCCAACGAAATCAATTAGATCAGATAAATTTTCTTCATGACTTTTTCTTAAAATGAAAAATAAAGAATTTAAGAACTCTCCATCCTTTAGAAAGATCTAAGTACTAGTAGTGTTGCACAGCTAACTTGACAAGCATCATGTTGCAGCTCCCTCTTAACTTCTCAATCTGGCTTGAAGCCACGACCCTGGTGCATGGTGCGGTACTGTATCTGCTTGCCTGACCGTGTCTGCGCCTATGCCACTTAGATGCTCCCGAGGGTAGAAACAGTCAGACGTACCTATCATATTGTAAAATCGGATGGAAAGGACATCATGGGAGTCAGGAACGCGAGGTTTGAAAAATCGAAGAATGAGCATGTTTGAGAAGGACAACGGAGTCGAAGACAACTCAGACGGTGTAAATACGATAAAAATCTACCGATAGATGGATTTTGATTTGATTCCACATCTTAGGTCTCAAGAGCAGGCTGAAGTATCGGGGCCGCTGAGGTCCCGCGCAAATAGATACGGTTTTATGTATGATCACGCGCTTGCCATTTTATCTTAGCTCACCAACCCCTCTTCTCTAATTTTCCCTCTATCTTTCTAGTGTTCGCACCCAAATGCCTACTTCTCGAGTAGAGTCGTGCGGGCATGTCAGTCGATAGTTCTAGCGCAGAAAGCAACTGCTTTTTCCTACACACCACCACCGCCCACCACCAACCGAAGGATAGTGGGTGAGTATTGGGTAGGTAGATAGCTATGCATATAGAGTACTTTTATCAGCTATTCGCGGATGTTAATTGGCCCTTGGGTTGAAATACCTGGGAAACAAGAAAATGGAGTATGGGGATGCGCGCGCTCTTTAGAGAAGCTATTTCGTCAGCGGCTCCCACACCTTTCCTCATGGCGTGCCTGCCTCGGACTTCGGGACCCTGTGGTATTATTCTTGTGGTAGTGACTAGTGGCTTGTAAGGCTGAAGAATGATAGGGCGGCAACCCACAGGACGGGACTGGGCTGAAGTGAAACTGGAAGGGGTTGAAGCAGACGTCTGACGCCTGCGAAAAACAAAGGTGAGCTGGGGTAACGACACCAAAGGTTGGGCATAACACGTGCAGCCAAGACATGCGTAGAGGCAAATATGAGCGAGAGAGTGGTTGAACAAAAATACACACAACAGCCTTGCTGTAGGGCCTGTAGGGCAGCCTGGCTTGTAGGGCAGTCTCGGTTTGTCCGTTGCTCCCCCCATTCCAGACTATATATGTGTGGGTGTGTATGGTGTATGAGTGATTCTGTGTGTAACGTCTATCGGTCTGCCCAACAGTGATTCGATGTTTGAGTCCTCTTTCTGCCTGCATTAAACATCCGGGATCGTGTCCAACCCAGCTCACGAACATGCCGTAAATTATAAGAAGAGAAAAACCAGAAACAACATGCAACAACCTGCCCTAAATAAATTAGTACCACATGATGTAGATGCAAAGTACTCTACCTACTTTATATCTTTATTATAATACCTATATCCTTAGATCTGACTTTATTCGTGGAAAACTCAAAGAAAGGAGATGACTAAACTACATCGAACCTGATGCTCACCGCATGCGCCTCTAGCCCTAAGCCGGTTAGAAAACAATAGGTGTTTAGTGCCCCGCATTCTTGCCAACCGTTTTTATCTGCGATCGTCTTTGAGGCTCTGGTAGCTAAACCACCTCACTCATTTTCGCTTCTAGAAATCATCTCGAGAAAAATTACAGCCCACCACTTGTCTGTCTGTCCGTCTGTCTGTCTGTGCGCGCGTGTGTGTCTGCGTGTGATTGTTTGCCTTCCATCGGCACAATCGTGCCGGTTATCAAACACTGTTATCATAAGCGATATCTCGACGAGATGGCCATGAACAAAGTTGCGGGGGAGAACCTCTACATTGGAGGGTAAGCAGTGGGACACTTTTCTTTCTTTTTCTACTGCCTCTCAACGCCGATCTGTCGCTGACCTCGTGGGGAACCATGGTTCCTTAATTAAACCGGCAGAATGTTCGCCCTTCGTGGACGGGAAGCTCTAAAAGAAGCCGGAATAACCCATGTGGTGTCCGTATTACGATTACCTCTCGATAAAGCTCTGTTTGAGAACTATGAGCACAAGGTTATCGAGGTGGACGACGTTGAGGATGAAAACCTGCTTGAACATTTCACTTCCAGCAATAAGTTCATTTCTGAAGCCTTAAAAGCTGAGGGTGCGGTCTTAATCCATTGGTTCGTAGTTCACTTTTTTTTTTTTTTTTTTTAGCCTTCTACCAAGCCTTCACCAGCCATTGGCCTCTTTATTGACCCATACACTAGTGCCATGGGGAAATCCCGTTCAGCAACTATACTTGCTGCATATCTGATGGCTACACGCCGTATCGCGCCAAATCTTGCCTTAGGACTCATAGAGCGTGCCCGCCCAATCGTGGAACCAAATCCTGGGTTTATGAAACAACTTGAACTATATCATGAAATGAACTATACCGACGTTGTTGAAGATCACCCCTTATATCAGCGGTGGATTTACTTACAGGATGTCGAGATGAGTAACGCCGCTGGAAGGGCACCGGAGCGAGTACATTTCAGAGATGCAGAGGCCACGGTGGGGAAAATCACTCAAGTGAAAGAGGGTGAAACCCCTGCGGAGAAAGGTGAAATAGAGCTACGGTGTAAGAAATGCCGGTGCGTACATATATTCATCTTTTATTTCCCCTCTATGCTTGGCTGACCGAACACTGGGTGGATCAGACGCACACTAGCGACCTCTGCTTCCTTAACACCCCATATTCCAAAACTGGCCCAAAACGCGCTGCCAAAGCAGCAATGCTCTCACCATTTCTTGGAACCCCTTCTATGGATGAAGGACGAGCTCTCCAAAGGTGAAATTTCTGGAAAATTAGAATGTCCCAAATGCCAGTCAAAGGTGGGATCCTACGCATGGCAAGGTCTGAGGTGTTCCTGTGGAGATTGGGTTGTTCCCGGGATTAGTGTTGCCAGAGGAAAGGTGGATGAAGTCAGAGTAAAGCTATGAAACGCTGGGCGGGTTATGTACCAAAACCCCCCAAGATCATGGGGGCTATCATTTATCACAATCGTTGTATTGCGTGTTATCATATCTTACAACCTTTGCTTTTTTGATTTGTTATCAGTTAGTTGGGGGGGGAGCGATCCAAACTCACATCTAGATACCGAGGGGCCGAGGGCTCTTTAGGATAATCATCCAATGCTGGGACGTTCTAAAATGTGAATGCACCCACATTACCTAATGGTGTTCTCAGGATTCCTAAGAGAAAAGCTTGTTTCTGCGACTTTAAGGTCGGAGGGTTTGTAAGCGTTCAATTCGCGAAACTGGATCAACAAGGCTGATGACCAACTCATATGTGCTGCACCCACGTTCTTCCCTAGAAGCACACCGATAGGGCTCAGACGTGACTTGTTGTCATGGAGATCATGCCTTACGATAGGGCTGATCAGTGCCTCCTGTATGACATCAAGGGTCTAGGCGACTGTGAGATTCAACTTTAGGCTTGGGCGTTACCGTCATAAGGCAACTTTATATTTACCGTTCCGGTAGGGTATCCCTGATTTGGTGATTCCCAATTTGTCTTGTTGTTTTTGTGAAGAACACAAATGTGAGGAATGTGAAACATACAGGGAGGGACTGTTAGACGACCTTTCAATAATACCTGAATCCTCGAGATCGCTACGAATGAAGACTGCTGCGTGTTCTCAGTATGATCCCACGAACCCTAAGTGGGGGGGTTTATGAGTTACGCTCGAGTATATTACATGTGTCGGTGGAGTAGTCTAGCGCAATGTATTTATCAGACACGCAGATGATACAACATATGTACATACCTTACGCACTGCATGCCGCCACGCTTTCTTTCAGCTAACTTTCAAACTACACCCTGAGATCTGAAAACATATGTGCCTGGGGAATGTGAGCAGCCCGACAGGGCTGGCTGGAGGCTCTTGGCATCGATATGTGAGGAGATCTCGAGAATTGATCCATAGTACACTCGTATATTTATCAATCAAATCGGACATCGAACCGCACTCAATCTTTCCTATTTGAGAAGGATAGTTGAGAATTCCTCAAGTTCTATTTATGAATAGTATTCCGGCATTGAAGGCGATCCCAAGAGTCTGGTCTCGAATGGGGGGTTGACATCTTCTTCGAACACATAGATCGGTACGCGAAGTGATCTAGTTTGTTTCATCTTAGCTTAAATAAGGGTAGGGCGGTTACACCATACACCGAAATATATATTGCATGTTGCATGTATTCTTAATCTTTGGTCTTTTTCTTTACGATACAGCCAGTTCAACAATTTCCTTCCTATTCGAGGCTAATATATTTAGGGCATTAACACGGGACGTACCGTTTTATTTTATTTTTTTATTTTTTGTCCTGTTGTTCTTACATAGGCGCTTTTTCAGGGCTGGGATTATATACAAGATGTGGTAAGGAGTCAAGGGGGTTGATGGTGTTGTTGTAAAGCTACATATAGCGCTACCTTACACTCTTACTCTACCATAAGATAAGCCTCATGTACCTACAGCGCACATCACACAACACAGCTGGCTTGGCCATTTTATTGAGGATGAACCCTACCGCATCATTCTGTATCACTCGCGCTCGCTCACCGGTGCCCTCCTTCACCGTAACCGAGCTAGCCAGCATTACTTGTATCACTCTGTCTCAAAAGCGATCTTGCGCGGGTGCGTAGGTAGGGGAAAGCCCTGAAATCCCATCGGATAATTATTTGTCAGGGAAGAGCACGTATCGAGTCAGCCTTATACATACGGCGGGGCACTGGTTAGTAAGTTGGTATGGAGCTATGTAGTCTTAGGAATGTAGAGTACAATACTTGGTTGAGTAAATATTTCTTAAGTGGCAGGGGTTTATTAAGCAACAGGGGCCACACGCAGGCCAATGTTTCGACGATCGACCCCGCGCGCTTAAGGGGATCGAACACAAACAAGTTGTACTGACTAGCGCGTCTATAAACAACGAAGAAGTAAAAAAGAAAGGGGAAGGAAGTGCAGGGGAAGTACCAAAGCAGTGGGGAAAGGGTTGCAAAAATAAACTTGTGTCCAGGATTGAAGGAAGGAAGATAGACGAGAACGGAATGAGACGCGAGGTGGAAAGCTAGGGTTTGGATTACCGCCAAAACTCGAAAAATTGGCTATCTCTGGCCAGGGATTATCACTCGAGTGATTGGTTGAATGGCATTGATCTGCATCAGAAGTTTCCCATACAAGTAATTTTGATCTCTGGAAGCTAGCCAATTTTTCGAGTTATGGCGGTACTATTCTGTCCATTGATCCATGTTCATCTCCTGATATTTCTTTCTGATCCCCGTTTTTCAAATAGGTAATCAACCTAGCTAGGCTAGTCCGATTATGGGCAAAAAAGAGAGCATACAGCAAATAGCTACTACTCTACTTCACAGCTGTGGCTCTCTGATTGGACGGTCCTGTCTAAGGTTCGAGATCATACTTTGTCACTCGCCCGTTCCCATCACGTGCCAGACAAAGAGGTTCTATAGCCTTAACTAGCTATAGAAGTTACGTCGGTATGACTTCCTTATAGATATATTAATATTGTATTCATATATTAGCTCTTTACTAGTACTGGTCTCCTAAGAAAATTGGTGTATACCCCACAATTATTAGATACCAAGATTTTTACCGATATATCCCGGGGTTGTTAGGCCAATTTTTATCACAAAAGACATGCGATACTGTATAGATATTGAGATCATATAAGGCTTTTACCCAAGTCTCTTAGAACAGGCCGGGAGGAGATCCTGATTATAACGAAGGGTTAATTACTCCTGGTGTTACCGCCCACTGAGAGAGTTGATCAGCCTGCCTTTGAGTTCGGGTCAATGATATATCAGTAGCAGTGATGAACTATAGCTTTAGTTTCGGAGGGTAAATATCAATGTTCCGGGTCTAAATAGAGAGCAACAATTGTAATATATGTAGGATTTCGTGAGCTCGTGGAGTTCTAGATCACAGTTCACATCATGAGACCAATTGATTCGGGCTTTTCCCCCTGCTTTTATAGCTGTCCCCACCTACCACTAACTAGCCATTTCCGTACGCCACAATGTGCTGAAATCTCGTTTGTTGGATACTCCCCCTAGACATTTCTTTATAATATTTATTCATTCTGTATGTGAGAGCCGCCAGGGACCAATTAACTCTCACAATTACGAGACCGACGCCTTTTCTGTTATAGAAGATTGTTGAATTCTTGTAATGCACATAATATATGTGCCACTATGCTTAATTCCTATAGTACATACACGACACATTTGAGTACAATACAATGTACCTATAATATAGCGCTATAGCAGCTACACAAGGGAACTCTCCTCCTTGAAACTAGCTATTAGAGCTTATGACTTATGCGACGACGTGACTCAACCATAGAGTCTACTCCAGATTTCGTGCAAGACTGTGTGGGGGCCGCGGTAAATCTTTTGCTTTTGCCGACGTACATGCGGCGTAGACAAGCAGCCCAAGAAATCATCGTTGGCAAGGGGAGGTGGGGGTGATCAAGAAGGTCCCCGGATAAAATTTGCCGCCCTGACGCGCAGCGGTTAGGGGATGTGCAATCGGAAGTCACCAGACTCCTTTTCTTCAGAACTACTATGCAGCGCGCGCAGACAGTAGGCGATGGTTGCCGGTGCATGTGCAGTGCCTATCCGCTGCCTGTTAATATGCAATGTTTAATCAATTATGTATGTGTGTGTAAGAGCAACCATTCTTACTGGCTGGATAATAACGGACCAGTCCAGTATTTGGGAATACCATATTTATGGACAACAAGGCCATGTATTAATGCTCCACTGTAGCAACCGAGTTAAGGACCCGATTGGGTCCCACTTGAAATAAAGTGACCTTTCTTAAATTCACAGCAACACCAGCTTCGTGAGTACTATATTAGGAGCTCTTATTGGGATCGGTTGATAAGCTTTCCCGCTTCTTTGTTATTAGTGAACAGGGTTGGATTATATCGTTTTTGTGTTTTTATCGAGGTTAGAGTTGCAAAGTACCCAATTGGAACCTCAGGCTTCTACGGTTCATGGGATACGTGCACATTTATCCTCAGGACAAAGCCGGTGATTATTGCGTGATGGTGGTATTGCGAATAAACTAGGCCATAAATAGGAGCTGCGAGATACGTAAATTACTCTCAGACGTCACTAAAAAGGATAGGTAAGGGCGGAGTGAAGAGAACATCCCTTGCGATTTTTATCATGACCAGGGATCCCTTTCTTCGAAGTCGACTGACCCTGGCTTTCTCAGTCTTTGAGAACAGAGGAATAATCTAGAACGGCAGTCACCCCTCCCTTAGTATAACAATTCCCTGTCTGGGGAGCCTCCGGAAGTGTTCGGCCCTTAGTGCCCCATGTTTCTGGCGGGGGGGATCCTTGCAATTGAACCTTGAAATTCGCCTTATAGAAGTTGCAAGTAACGGTCAAGAATAGGTATTCAACAGCCTAGAATCCTAAACAAGTTTTGCGAACACATCCACTGATGTATCAGGTCGTCGTGAACTTCCACCCTGCCATACCCTTGGTTTAATCCTTATACAAGCGTTTCGTCGTCTCGAAAGCTGCTCTGAAACATTACTGTTGGTACCTGCATAGGCAACTAGGCATCTATCCGTCAAGCACATGTAGTTAAACCTTTTTGATCGGGCGTTCGTCCAATAGGCTGCGCGATTTAATATGCACTTGAGAGTTTTTATGCCATTTGTATTAAGTTAATCGCGCTGGTGGAATCAAATCAGGGAATCGGGTCTTAATTTCGGCACACAATCGAGCCAATGAATCATGAGATATCACTCGGAGGTATTCCGTAAAGTAAACTTTGTGATCATAATATTTTCGAATTTATTGGTATTAGAGTATATATTGGCTAGCGTCCTAGCTACCTCCGCGCGCTTCCTACCTACCTCCACGCTTAGATGCTAACTAGGTGCTTATTTGACGTTGATTTGGGCATTGA